CTTTGTAAAACACCATCATGCAGATACAGACCTACTTTACACAGTCCTATGGGTTAATCAGAGAAAATTTGGAATGAGGAAAGATCTTTTTAAATTACTGCACCAACAAAAAACCAGACTGATTTACTTATTTAAATCCCTGCACCCGGGGACTTTGAATACTGAATTAGATTTCAATTGTTTTATTTAAGTTTTCTGATAAGATGGCTACTGTTTGTGTTCTCTTTGCTAGATGTTGGATACTGTATGTTTAAATTTCCTGAAATTTTATGTGATCCATTGCACCTGTGGATAGATGATACTTGATACTGTTGACAGAACCCTAAAGGCTATCCCTAGGTGCAATGAATCACATAAAATTTCAGGAAATTTAAAGATACAGTGTTTAGAACATTTTTATCAGGGCATCTTCAATAAATCATTGACTTAATCTATCTTAGCATTGCTTGTCTCAGTCCATTCAAAGAACATGGGGGCATTCTCATTGAAATATCAGTGAAACTAAAAAGATTGAAAGCATTTTTCGCAGAGAGACAGCCATATTCATGTTTTCTTCCTTAGGTTAACATCAACATAAAGTTACAAATGGTGTGATGTATGTAAGAGAAGTGTGCCCGTTCAGGGTTTGAGCCAGCTTGGAAGACTTAATATTGTATGTGCCTCACATTAGGCAACATTTTTGTTTATTTCCGTCCTTCCTGAAAAGATCCCTCACTGTCCTGATGCTGCTTTTTCTTCAAACAACTGTTTAAGAAATGTACTCTAGCATGTTTTATCCTCAGGTAAAAGTTTTACACATGCAAAATGTCTTACTTAATTTTTCTCAAGTAACCAAGAATAAATTTGTTTCTTAAACAGACATTCAGAACATCCCACCATGGTCAGCAGAGACATCAACAAACTTAGTTCCTCAATATGCCCTTGCAGTTCTTCAGGCCAATTTATGGCCTGGGGCTTACGCCTTTGCTATTGGAAGGTAAGAAGAGGAAATCACTTTGGTTGCTTGATAATCTGTTGTTTCTTCTTCTAACTGTATAATCTTTCCAAAGCTGCTATTATGTTTTCCTTTTTTTTAAATCATTTTTATTAAGTTTTCCATTTTAACAATCCAATCAAATCACATTAAATATTCCAAATTATACCCTGCTCTTAGGTTTTCCAAGGAACTGATGCCAGTAGAGGCTTCTTTTGAAATTCTAATAGCAATTTCAGGGAAGCCATTTTTGGCAAGGCTGTGGAAGGGAGCGAAAGGGTTAAACATTCACTTCTCGTCTTTCATTTGGCCTTAAGTTTCTTTTTCGTCATATCTGAAAGGAGAAGCAAGCAGTGAGTGTATGTCACCTGAACTGTAATGTGCAATTCTTAAATCAATTAATTGGAGGAGCATGATATTGTTGTTCCAATCATTTTGGAAATGAGCCATAGTGGAGACTGTGGTGCCTTTGTGATTTATACAACCTGAGCCTACAATGGAGGGGATCACAGCACATCACCCCAGGACAGGGGTCTGCAACCCGCGGCTCCGGAGCCGCATGTGGCTCTTTTACATCTTTGCCGCGGCGGATACTAGCGAGGGGAGGAGGCGCATTGTGCGCCCCGACACTCCTCACTGTGGCGGGCGCTGTACTGGCTGTGATGTCGCATGGGGGCGGTGCGTGCATTAGTCACGCACCGTCCCGACGTCACCTTCCCGCCCGCTGTCAGATCGCGGCTCCGGAGATATATTTGTTTTAAATGTCGCAATGGTTTTGCGGCTCCCCGTTGTTTTTTTCTTCGGAAACGGGTCCAAGTGGCTCTTTTTGTCTTAAAGGTTGCAGACCCCTGCCCCAGGAGGTTCTTGCTTTTCCTATAGCCACAGCCTTGAATTCCAGCAGAAATTAGGCCTGGTTTTCTCTGACTTTTCAGCCTGCTGCTTTTGCATCAAGCTACTAGCTCTCATAACTCAACTCTCCCCTCTGGCCTTTCGTCTTTCTAACTAACTTGACAGTATATAGCGGGCTATTACCAGGCTGGCCTGGATATTCCAGCAATCGAATCCATGCTGGATCCAGAAATTAGAAGGGGACGCATACACCCCCCCCAAACAACTAACAACACTATGATGTGATGTGATCACAGTATAAGGGTATGCATTTCCTTCGTTTGCTGTGATTTTGGGGAAAGGTAATACAATGTCACTTCACATATTTTACTTTACTAGGGTGGCAATCCTATACTGAGCTCCCTGGGAGCAAGTCCCATTGAAGTCAAGAGGGCTTTCTTTTGAGTAAGCATGCTGTTAACCTTTCAGATGGTAGGTGGTACAGAGGAGGAAACCTTGCAGTTAAGCTTTTGGCAGTAGCCATATGTCATACATAAAATATAGATCCAGCCTCAAGCCTTGGAAAGAAAGGACAGTTGGATTTTTCCTTTCAAGTAATATTATGATATTTCACTTCTTCCTTTAGGAGATTTGATAACATCTACATTGGCTGGGGTCACAAATACAGTGCAGAAAATTTCAGCCCTCAGTTGCCGCCGCTCGTGCAAACTGAGTACCTTAGTGGGCCAGAAATCACAGAAACAACAGACCCAACTGTGGAAGAAGAGATGGCACTCAAGGCTGCACAAGAGGAAGCACTGGCAGCTGAAGAAATGGAAGAGATGGATGAGGAAGAGGATGAAGAGGATGATGATTAAACGCCAAAGAGCAAGAATTGCTATAATATTTTTTTCCTAAGCATGTATAAACTTTTCTACTAATGTATTAGAATAAGCAAAGTATAATAGATAGAAATATATGGATAGTTGTTGGATTAATTTCAAAGAAGTGTTTTGTCTTACTGTTTTTAGGACTGGTGCTTTTACTGTAGTAGATGAAAAGCTTTACCTGTTAATGGAGTCACTTGGAGACCTTGGCAACAAGCAACTAATACATCTCATTAATATTAATATTATCATTAATATCAGAACAAACAGAGTGCTGAATGATCAGATAGACAAACTTTGTCCTAACCCTTCTCACACTGTATAACAGCACAGGTTTTTTCTATGAGTCAAACCATAAGGGGGTCTGAAAGGTAGGATATAAACATTTTAATATATAAATATCATAATTACTCTTCATGAAGGCAGGCCAGTACTTTTCTGGTAGCATTTAGGCCCAAACAAGAACATTTGGCGAGTGGGGGGGGGATGGTAACTTGATCTCCCAACTTAAAAATCAACTTTAAAGCTGCTCTGTGGGCTCCCCCCCTTTTTTTTTTGTAGCGATGCTAGGGAAGGGGATGTTTAACATTTTCCCCATGCTTATTTCTCAATTTAAATCAGCACCTCATAGCTGCTGTTAGACACACCAGGGAGCAGATAGAGGTACTGTGGAGTGGAGATGTAGTTTGGGGAAACAGTGCAGGGGGAAAGGGTTAAAAACACTAGCAAATGATTCCGTGCTGGATCCAGGGATTATTAGAAGGGTGTGGCATACAGCCTACTTCCTCCCCGCCAAACTCATAACAATATATACATCTGTGGTGACCACTCAAAATAGCAGCTGTAAGCTATTACAGTGGTGCCTCGCAAGACGAAATTAATTCGTTCCGCGAGTTTTGTCGTCTCGCAATTTTTTTCGTCTTGCGAAGCACGGTGTCGGGAAAGTTTTGGAAAAGCTTCAAAAATCACCAAAGTCTTTAAAAACCTCAAAAAGGCTACCACACCGCGTTCTATGAGTTGCTCCTCGAAGTCAAGTCGCAACTGTATTAACGGTGTTAAGAAAAAGGAAACAAACTTGCAAGACGTTTCCGTCTTGCGAAGCAAGCCCATAGGGAAAATCGTCTTGCGAAGCAGCTCAAAAAACAAAAAACCCTTTCGTCTAGCGAGTTTTTTGTCTTGCGAGGCATTCGTCTTGCGAGGTACCACTGTACCTCTTAGCCACCTCCCCTCCACTTGTGATAATAACTATTAGCTGCTAAAAAAAATTTGCGCTGACAAGGCAGTTTAAAAAAAAGTTCGAAAACCCTCGAAATTCACACATACCCAACCTAGAGGGGGCAGGGTATATGATTTTCCTGCCATTTATTCTACAGGAGGAGGGTGACACCGCTGTCCAATTACATTTGTGATACCTTCTTGAGTTCCCCGTTGTTTTGAGGCTGTTCTTATTTTTTCTGTAAACACTTTTTCTGTAAAGACATCTGAAGGCAGCCCTGTTTAGGGGAGTTTTTAATATTTAATGCTGTATTGTTTTTGACACTTGATTGGAAGCCGCCCAGAGTGGCTGGGGAAACTCGGCCAGATGGGCAGGGTATACGGTAAATAATAATTATTATTATTATTATTATTATTATTATTATTATTATTATTATTATTATTAAACTGCCTTGAGTCCTTGCCAAGGGCGTAAAGCGATAAATATTTTCCTACGGGCAGCTGCAGCTGGCACTTTCAATCAGCTGGGTGGTGGGGAAGGCGCTCTAAATAAACAGGAAAATATGCCCCGCTCTGCCTCTCAATCCAAAAGCGCTTTTGAGGAACTATTGGAACAAAAGGTGTAAAATAACAAGGCTTAGCAGCTTCTTCCGCGAACAACATAAGCGCTTTAAAGCGGGCGCATTTAATCAACGCGCTCGCAAGGTTGAGAATCCGATCCAGCCAACCAGCAAGCGGCTTTCTGCCTGGCCTGACCCCACCCAAGAGCGACAACGAGGCTGAGGGGAGGGAAACAACAAAGGAGCCTTTTTAACCCTAGCACCACCGCGGCCCTTTTAAAACAAGGAAAAGGGGGGAGCCAGGGGAGTAGTCCGCCCATTTCCCGAGGGACAAGAAGGAGGCTCAAATCTGTCGAAATTCCTTCTGGTACTTTATACAGGAACTAGCGCTCTTTGCCTCATCGCCTCCCCCCGCCCAGGCGCCTTGAGATGGATTCGCCCGCCCACCCCTTCCCTTAGGCATTAGTGCGGTCCAACTTGTGGGCGGAGATTGAGTGCCTACGTCACCAACGGACCAATAGAAAAGGGTCCCAGGGGGAAATTCAAACTGTGGAAGTGAAATTGAGGCCCGGTGGCGGGTGAGGGCGGAGGCTGCTTCATTTGGAGAGATGGCTGAGGAAGGCGGCGTCACGGTCTGCGTGCGGGTGCGCCCGCTTATTGCGAGGTGAGTTTCTGAGTGGAGGGAAATGGAAGTGCACATCAATTCCCCCACATTTTGCTCCGCGTTTACTCCGAAGTAACCCCTCCCCGGTGTTTCTAAGGGATCTACTTCGAAGTAAGCACGCGTGGAGAGGTGCGCGGCCTTAACAGCCTGGCCAGACATGCATGCGAAGCCCTGAGAAGGAAGCCTGACTCTTCAATAGGGCGCACACCCTTTCCCTGCGACTGTCCTCTGTTTCTATTGCTATTTGCTTTTAAGTTCTTCTTCGTCCACTTAAAAAAAAATAAAAATGCGCGTGGGTTAAAAGGAAAAAAATATGGGTTTTTTAATTGCTGTAACCCCGGGTTGATGGTGAAGGGCGGGTAATACATTTACTGTTGAAAATAATCATGAAAGGCCTTCCAACCCTGCTTCTCCACTCTCCTTAAATTTTATTATTTATACCCCGCCCATCAGGCTGTGGTTAGAGCAGTGGTTCCCGACCTTTGTTTGCCCATGCCCCACCTAAGCATCTCTAAAATCTTGATGCCCCCTCCCCCATGACATGTAATTCTTATTATTCAAAAAGTGAATTCCTATTCATATGGAGGAAGCCTAAAATGCCATTGACTGTTGATAACTCATTCTCAAATTGCCCCCCTGTGGGGGGGGGGTGCACCACGTTGGGAACCATCGGACTAGGAGCTGGGAGACCAGGGTTCGAATCCTCGCTCGGCCATGTAGCTTGCTTGGGCCAGTCACTTGACTGACAGCCTAACCTACCTTGCAGGGCCATTGTGGGGAATTAAGTGAGGAAGTGGGGAGACGTGCAAGGCCACTTTAGCTCCTTGCAGAGGGTGGCATATAAGTTAAATAAGTAAACTCAGCTGCTTGCAGCCATTCTTGTTTTAGCCCCCAGTTACCTTTGGGTGGGTGACATGAGGTGGACAGAAAGCCTCCTTTGTTCTCCATCTAAGGCCAGGAACCTTCTTCAGCCACTACTGAGAATGCTTGGTTCCCTGTTTGGGGGGGGGGCTATGGCTTTATCTGTGAGGCTAATGGCATCCTCAGCATCTTAGAGTAAGCTGTATTTCCATAGCGACCACTCGGGTGATGCTGCTCTCCAGGAAATGGTAGCCATTTCCCCACCACCTTCACTTGGTTGGAGGCAACATCATCTTGTAAGTAGAACAATAGCCAGAAGAACAGTAGGCAAACTATAGCTAGAGTTGGTGTGTTGAGTTTTGGAGTGGGCTGGAGGATGGCTTGACATGCTCCATGCGCTAAATCCCAAAGCTCTGGCAGCAGGTGGGAGGGAGCAGCCCTAGAGATTTATGGAGAAGCAAGATCTGCCAGGGTGTTAATGCTGTGAGCCCATCCTATGCTCGGGTTGTATATACAAGTATGTGTCAATAAAACCATATCCTAAAAATGCTACCTGTCTTATAGGTAGGCGTGTATAGGGTTGTGCTGTAAATCTGAGATGCACTTGTTTTATAATCTTCAGAAAGTGAATATTATGTCTAAAATGCTCCAGAAGGGTATGGGTATACTCTAAAACAGGCATGTTTAAAAAGGCATTTAATCATACAGGAGCTGGATTTTTAAAGTTGTTCTTAGAGGGACAAAGCAAACACTCACAGGTGCTTCATTCCTAGGACTGGTTCCACCACCCTTAAATTTGGATACAAACAAGTGCGTACAATGCGCTTTGCACATGCTCTGCACAGCAAGGTATTCAATATAACTTGCACATTGTCATAAAGTTAAGTCAACAGCTGCAAACATCTCTAGATTTTTTTTATTTTTTAAATTTCTATACCGCTTTATATTTTTAAGAAAAATCACACAGCGGTTTACAGCATATTTAATCAATAAAACATAAAACAATCTGAAGAAAGTCGAATATAGAGTATACAGTCAAAGCAACATAACAGAACACTAAAATATGATCTTAAAGATTTCAAAATAAAACATTATGAAGGAGGTAAACTACAGAATACATATTCTAACATATCCCTAACATAGTAGGGCTGGTGAGTGTGGGTCCCGCCCCCTAGGCCAGGTGGAAAGGGCCTTGCAGGGAGCGACCTTCACACTCACAGCCTAGCGATGTTCCTTCAGCCTCATGAGGAACCTCTTAAGTAGGGCTGGTGAGTGTGGGCCCCTGAGATAGTCTCAGGACCAGACAATTAGAAGATCAGTATTTCTTTAACACCATCAATTTCTCTATACTCTGGAATCTCTAACAGTGTTTTGTTCCTTAAGAGAGAATGCAGACCATGAAGAGAAACAGAACATTTTGTGGAAAACTGAGGAATGCACCATATCTCAGGTTGATGGGACAAAATCTTTCACCTTTGGTAAGCACTCGATAAGCACTGAAATACTTTGTAAACTTCTCTGAGGGTTTGTTTGTTTACAATCAAGTGCTGTATAAATTTTATTAAGTACATAAATATTGGTATACCATAAAAACATGCAAACAACTTTTTTGAAAGCAGCCAGGTGTGCTTCTACCAGTCTAACTTACAAGTTGGCAATCTGACAAATCTTGAAGATGGAGTTTGATTTCTGTGAACTGAACCTTTTCTCTTCTTCTTCTTCTTCTTCTTTTTTTTTTTTAAGATCGGGTGTTTCATTCTTCAGAAAATACCACAGAAGTCTACGAAGGGGTGGCTGCTTCAATTATAAAGTCTGCTGTTCAGGGATATAATGGTACCTTAAAGATCAACACATTTGAATGCTTGCACTGTATTTGGGTAGTGGTCTGAGCTAACCATTGCTTTTCCTTTTAGGAACTATTTTTGCCTATGGCCAAACTGCTTCGGGGAAAACTTACACAATGTTGGGCACTAAAGATTGCCCAGGAATCATACCGATGGCCATCAATGATGTTTTCAATAGCATCTGTGGAGTAAGTTTTTCTACTAGATGAACTTTGTTTCAGATACCACATTAGTGCTGCAAAGCTGCATATTGAACCTGCTTTGACGATTTCTTAGCTCCACTTAGGAGAAAAGCCTGTGCAGCCCCTATATAGCAGTTTCCATTTCCCAACTTATTGTTGACCAATAAGTATTGTGATTGGAACCAATACAGTAATACCTCCGCAAACATCTGTCTTGTCTAGCGTCCATTCTGGCGAATGTCCGTGGCAAACCCTGAAGTACCGGAACGGGTTACTTCTGGGTTTGCCGCTCGCGCACGTGCAGAAGCACAAACGGCTCCGCACACGTGCGCAGACGCGGCGCTTTGCCCTGCATCCTTTTCAGCTAGCGGCCGGGGCTCTGGAACGGATCCTGGCCGCAAAATGAGGTATGACTGTATAGAGATCAGGAATGAGAAACTCTGTTGTTCTTCAGAAGTTGTTGGAGTCTGATCCCATCACATCCATCAGCTATGCTAGCTGGGGCTGATAAGAGCTGCAGTGCAGCATCATTTGGAGGTCCATAGTTCCGCATCTGTAGTATAGTTCATAAGGAAGGAGGGAATGTTTTAGTGATGGCATTGGATGGGGTGGAGGGGGCAGGGAGCCATGTTACATTAGTTCTCTACAATTAGGGATGCTGATGCATGCATGCTCTTTACTTTTTTAGAATCCTGACAGGGAGTTCCTACTCCGTGTATCATATATGGAAATCCACAATGATAGAGTTCAGGACCTACTGTGCAGCAACATAAAAAAAAAGAAACCCTTGGTTGTTCGTGAAGACATCAGTGTAAGTAACCATCGCTACCTTTCCAAGTGACAGTGCCAAAGCTCCCACATGGCCTTGTAACAGGGAAAGTAAAATTCTGGAAGTCAGCATGTTGTTGACAGTTGCCTACTTGGACTCTGCCCATTTTGCTTCTGCGTTGATTAAAATCTATTTTTCTTAAAGTTGACCTAAAGTTAGCTAACTGCCTAATAGCTTTGCATTGCCTATATACCAAGAGGTAACACCTAGAATCAATACTGTCATGTTATGTGGTTTTATTTTATTTTTTAAAATCTCTTGTAGAGGCAAATCTTTGTTGAAGATCTGAGCGAAGAGGTGGTGGTTTCTCCAGAGCAAGTTGTGAGCTGGCTGCAGAAAGGAGAAAGTAAGACTTAATATCTGGTGTGACTTAAACACATACAGAGCTTCCTGTACAGCTCTGATACAGTGGTACCTTGGTTTACGAACTTAATCTGTTCCGGAAGTTCGTTCCCAAACCTGGGTGCACCTTCCCATAGAAAGTAATGCAAAATGGATTAATTCGTTCCAGACTTTTAAAAACAATCTGTAGCTGAACTGGGATCCACACAGATCCCCCGCCCCGCTGCTGCGGGAAATGTTCCCTAGAGGTGCACCTCCCATAGCAGCAAGGGGGGGAGTTGTGCGCCCACCAACCAGATGACAATGGAAGTGTGGCACTCAAAATGGAAGTGCACCCCCGAACGGAGTACGTTCGTATACCAAAAAACAAAAACAAAAAAACGCAACCCGGAACACTCATTTTCAGGTTTGAAGTGTTCATAATCCAGAAAGTTTAACTAGGCTGTTCATAACCCGAGGTACCACTGTACTTCTAAATCCATCAACTTTATTGTGTTTTGTTCTGAATAGAAAACAGACACTATGGTGAGACCAATATGAATGACAGAAGTAGCCGCTCGCATGCAATCTTCCGCATGGTAAGTGATCATGAATTTTTATTTTACTGATTTCTTTTAGTTCAGAGATCGGAAACCTCTGGCCCTCTCTGATGTTCCCGGACTCCAAAGTCCCATCAGTTCTGACCATTGGCCATACTGATGGGAGATGGAGTCCAACAACATCCAGAGGGCACCAGGTTCCCTATTCCTGGTTAGTACCTGGCTATGATGTCTGGAAGGATATGAGAGGGAAATATTTATTGTTGTTGTTGTTGTTGTTATACAATTCTACCACTGGGCAATTTACAATATAAAAACACAAAAATATATGCCATAAGAATAAACAAAAACAATAAAACACATAGTTTAAAAGGCCATTGATCGTTTAATTAACCAAAGGCCTAGGAGAAGAGTAATCTTTTTGCCTGGCACCTAAAATATGTAACAAAAGCACCAGGCATGCCTCCCTGGGGAGAACATTCCACAAGATATGCCAGTTCTAGGTTCTGTTGGTCGAGGGTAGGTGTGCTACAGTATATAGACCCACACGTCACAAACTGGTATTCGTGGTGGCTATTTTTGTTGGTTTATAATTTGTGATGTGATAGTAAAACAATTTCACAACCTTGCTTGCTTTTTTTAAAGATAATTGAAAGCAAAGAGAAGACTGATAGTTCAAGCTACGATGGCGCTGTAATGGTATCTCACTTGGTGAGTTCTTTGAAAAATAGAACTGAGGTTTGTAATGGGTTGGTAGAAAAAACCACTATTGAAGGATGCTGCAGCTTGTGTGCATTACAGGAACATGAGACGAGCCCTGCTGTATCAGACCAATGGCCTGTTTGTTCTAGCATCCTGCCCTCACAGTGGTGAACCAGGTGCCCAAGATCCAAGCAGGACCCCAGCTTAACAGCAGTTTCTCTACTTAAGATTCACAGCAGCTGGTAGTGGAGGTGGAACTTAGCCATCATAGCTAGTAGTCCTTGCTAGACTTGTACTCTATGGATTTGTCTGATCCTCTTTTAAAGGCTTCCAAGTTGGTGGCCATTACTACTTACTGGGTGAGTGAATTCCGTAGTTTATGTAACTGTGTGAAGAAGTTCTCTCTTGTCTGTCCTGAATCTTAGCTTTGTTGGCTGGCCCTGAGTTCTAGAATTATATGAGAGAGATGGAGAGAAACCTAGCCCTATCTGCCTTCTCGATACCATGCATAATCTTATACACCTCTAGCAGGTCCCTCCTTAACTTGCCTTTCCTCTGAAAGCCCCAAATGCTTTAACATTTGGAAGAAAGAGGTTTGTGTGCCATATGACCCACTCTGCCCCCTAAGCTAGGCTGCTGCCCTAAGTCGAAGTAGAGGATGTTGTCTTGCCACCAGTCTGGTTGACTTGGCTATACAGAAAGAGGGGAGGGGTGCCATCTTTTGCTTCGGCTCAGGTAGCGAAATATATTGGGCCAGCCTTGTGTGCTTTCTGTTTGAGATCTGGCCAGCAGAGCCAAATATATATTGGGACTGTGGAAGGCTGTGGATTGAACTTCTGAAGTGTTTAGTAGGGCTGTTTCTGCCTGGGAAATAGCAGCAGCAGAAATTCAGTTGCTCTGGGTTTCCAGTCCGTTTGGCACAGCAGTCATAATGCTTATTCAAAAGCAAGTTCCATTGACATTGCGGGAACATACTGAAGAGGTGCAGACTAAACAATGCCCATATTATTATTACATTTATGTCCCATCTTCAAGAAGCTAAGGTGGCCTACTTGATTTTGTTCCCCTCCATTTTATCCTTACATCAACCCTACGAGGTAGGTTAGGTTGAGAGACCAAGGTGACCCAGTGAGCATTGTGGCCATGTGAGGATTTGAACCCTGGCCTCCTAGGTCCTAGCCAGACACTCACCACTATGCCACATTGGTTCCTTGGACTATAGTAGAAATTCAGTTATGTTTGCTCTTCTTAAAGTGGTCAAAACATCAAATCAGAGAGTATGCACATCCTTCTACCTTTTCCTTCTGTTGCAGACCATCCTGAATCTGAGATGCAATCTACAAATGACTGGCTCCCTTTAACACACATTTCCTCTGTTCTTTCGCTTTCATGAAATGTTAAATGTTGTTCAGTTGAACGTATTTTCTCCCAGATGTAGTGACCAGTGCTGCACAAAATTATTGTTCCTTTGATTTAAACTGCTGGCCAGGGACCTTTTTCTGCTCATGTACAGTCTCAGGAACTCATTTTTCTCAGGCTTTTATCTGCCACTGTTTGGAATTCAGTCATTCAATCAATAGGTGATTTGAATAGATCTTGTGTGAGACTGGTGTCCAACACAGTCTGTCTTGAATTTTCAGAATTTCGTAGATCTGGCAGGAAGTGAAAGAGCTAGCCAGACTGGTGCTGAAGGTATGTAGCTGATGATGATCGAGCTTTTCCGGTAATCTGCTAAATACTAACTTGTAAAACATGTAAAAAATCCAACAAGTAATTTCCACCCCCAGGGTTCTGTTGCTGGGCATGCTTGCTCTTATTTATGTAAGCCATATACAGCTTAACAGCAAAATTCATTATATTTGGAACACAAGACTGATGCAGATGTAACATTCCCAACTGGTAAACTCTTGCACAAAAATCTAACTTCTCTATGGCAAGGATAAGGAATCTGTGGTGCTCTAGAAGTTGGATACAAACTCCTAGCAATCCTAGTCAATCTGACCAGTGGTCAGCAATGATGGAACAACACATTGGAGGACCACAAGTTCCTTATCCCTGCTTCTGCAGAGACTATTGTAAACCGCCCCATGATCCTTGGATGAAGCGTGGTATATAAATTTAATGAATATAATATTTGGTTTAGGCCTTCTAGCTTTATCTTCCTCCTTTTGGCTGAAATTATTCAATGTTTCAGAGTTAAATGGCATAATTCATCACACCACTAATAATGTTGAAATCTTATTGGGTGTCTCCAATGCTGTCCTTTCATTGACAGAAGGAATCGGTTGGCAAAACAGGGGAGTTTTTTTTTTGGTGATGAACCCTACACAGGACCCTGTGCCCCTCTTTAATCTGCTGCAGAGGACTGATGAATCATCTAGAGCAGATTTAAGGACGGAATGGGAAACGCTGAAAAATGCCCATTCTGCTGATAGTTGCCTTTTGTCAGGAGACAGGCAACTTTGGATACTGCCCAGTATTGTTATTTAACACTTTATAAAGTGTCTAAAACTTTCTCTTAATAGGAATCTGTTTTCATATCTGAAAAGATTGTGAGCTTATGGGCAGGTAAAAACAATACAGAAGGGGGTGAAATGGAGAATGAAGAAGAAAGCAATCAAATTCAGGAGCTCTTGACTATGTTAACTCCCAGTATGATAGCAAAACAAATTTTGTGGAAGGAGCTGTCTGAAAATAAAATTATGTTTGATGCCTAGGGATTCGTCTCAAAGAAGGTTGCAATATAAACCGGAGCCTCTCCATCTTGGGCCAAGTTATCAAGAAGCTATGTGACGATCAGGCTGGGTAAGGACAATGTAGTTAAGAAAGGTTCTTTGTGCTGGATTGAAAAGTGTTCTCACTTGATTCTAGAACAGGCAGCCAATGTAGTACCATCCCTAGGTGGTTTGACTACAGTTCCCACCACCACAGGCCATCTGTCTGGGCTTGATGGGAGTTGTCATCCAACAACCTTTGGAAGACACCACTTTGGGCTGTCTCTGTCATATGTAAATTGATCAGCTCTTGGGCCAGTTTTGCCTCTACTTAATAAGTAAAAACTTCCTTGTTCCTTTTTTGGTCATCCTCTTTCACCAGAGGCTACATTAACTACCGAGATAGCAAGCTGACACGGATTCTGCAGAATTCGCTGGGTGGAAATGCTAAGACTGTTATTATCTGCACAGTCACTCCGGCATCCTTGGAAGAAACTCTTAGCACACTCCAGGTAAAACCGTACAGTTCCATTTCCTTCCCCGAAAAGTTTTATGGGCAAAGTTGCCCAAAATGACAAGTAGGCAAGAAATTATTTCCCTTTGTCTTTAAACTTGCATGCTTTGTTCTAGTATATGTACCTGCAGCTATAGATCTATGACAAATCAGACTTCCCCTTCAACGGGAAGTAGTCTAGCACTTCCTCTAATAGCTGGGGTGGATACTGACATTTGCAGAAGCAACCCCTTCAACTCTTTTAAAAAGAGAGCCTGTGAAGACTAAGCTTTCATGATAGTCATGGAGTCTTGAATATCAGGTGGAAAAGGAAAAGCTGGGGGGGGAATGGCCTACTTGAGCTCCTGGTAGCTTATCTGTTGCCCTCCAGATGTTGGAGGACTCCAGCTCCCATCAGCCATGGTCAACATGGTCAGATGATGGGAGTTGTAGTTCAACAACAACTGGAGGGCACAAGATTGGCTAACCTAGGCTTATCCCTTCTGTGGGGAGGTGAAGGTATGCTGCAACATTTCGTTTAATGCATCCCATTTGTATTTACTGTAATAGCAAATGTTGATTTTTATGATTCCATGCTTCTATAATTTTCGAAAAGAGATTTTGCACAAATGTAATTTTTTCCTGACTTCACCTTCAAAGAGCAGTTCTGACTCCCATGTGCCCATCTCTCCTAGTTTGCCAGTACAGCTAAAAATATGAAAAATAGCCCCATAGTAAACGAAGTTCTAACTGAGGATGCCCTTCTGAAGAGATATCGTTCAGAAATAGAAGACCTGAAACGACGCCTAGAAGAGGTAAGTTCTCTACCTTGAAATCTAAGAGGCTGGAATGGGTAGAGTCTGGCCGAATTTCAATGGCAACTCTTAATAAAGTTGATGACCACTTTGTGCGGGGGTGCCATTCCCTGCCCCCACATATGTTGGAGGAATATGTATAAGTGTGCCACAGCCCTGTTATGCCCTTTTTGTGACATGCTGAGCAACGTTTTTGGGTCACTTCCAGGTTCATCGCTATATGCAATCTCATGTCTTTCGGATGCGCATTAATTGGTCGTTGCGTGTTTGCAACCCTTTCCACACTGGGGGGTGCAGACACAATTTCATGGAACTTAAATGCTTTCATTGTTTTATGCTGATGTTTAACCTTCACAGCCATTAGTACTTACAGTACGTTATTACCATCACAGTAATACACAAACGAACAACCACAGTCCTTGCAAGCAAGGCGGGGTCTACACAAAAGCACACAGGTATCCTAGCCTGGTAGGGTAAATTTTTCTGTAATGTAAACTTCAATACCTTCTCCAGGCACCACACACATGGATTTGTTTTCAGGGATTTTACTACCCCAAAGATAGATTGAAAATTTGGCCTGGGGTAGTAAAAGTATTCCCAAAAGTGTGTAAGTTTTCAGCAGGTCTTAGGAAAATCTGTTATGAAGGGTATTTTTTGTATTTCTTGGGAAATCACGTACACCTTACTATGAACAACATTGTGTGCCTTTCGACCTTTGGTATTGATGCTTTCCCTTTGTAGGTTTCACCACAATCCCAGCTGGCACAGATCATTGAAGAAAAGAACGCTCTTCAAAAAGAACAGCAGGAGAAAATAAGGGCTCTCACTGAGATGCTGGTGACGGCACCTTCTTTTGCATCAGCGCAAGACTTCAAGGTAATATTTAAAAATTTAAGTGTTGTGGGACCTTTGGTGGAAAACTGGTGGTTCTTCCACATTTCTTGTAGCAGCTGTTATTAAGTAACCAAATGGGGTGAGGGAAACCTGGGAATGACTAGAAGGGTGCCACTGTAGAAAAGGCCCTTCCAACTTGTGGAAGCTGAACATAGCTCTGTTAAGGCATGCTTGAAGCAGGAAGCTCATACTGGGAAGCTGGTATAAGAACAGGCACCAGCAACTTGAGTGTGCTTTAATGGTGCCTGGAGGGTGAATGGAGCCTGCTGCTCTCCAGTCCAGCCCTCACCACCGAGGGCCCTGCGCAACTTTGCAGCTCGTGGAGGGCAGCGTGAGAAGGATGCCATGTGCCCTCAACCAAGGCCTGCGATCGAAGGGCATGTGGCAGTTGCGTCTTAAGTCACTCTCCCCGGCTCCCAGCCTTTAAAATAGAGCTTTGTGTAGAATTCTGTAGCTGCTACTTGTCACCCGACTAGTGAGACACAGCAAGTTCAAGTTGCTTATGGTGCTTGCAAGCATGTTTTAGGAAAGCTTCCCCTCTCCATTTGCAACTTTTTTTGTAAATGCTTCTGGTAGAACCTACAATCGCTATCTTCAACTGAATTTGTCATCACTAGGCCACGTACAAATTCCAAGCAAATGGGATTATGCTTATAAAAAAATCCAACTTCCTTTAATTTTCCTACATGCCTTGATTTTTTTATTATTTTTTTTAAGGTTCGAAGGAAGAGGAGAGTGACCTGGGCTCCAGGAGCAATAAACCAGGAAGGAGGGGAATGTCTCCTGGGAAGCTTTCCCTCAAAAGCCAAACAGTTTAAAACATCTTTGTCTTGTCTATCAGAGATGGAAGAGTGTAAGTTTGTTATGCATAGAAACTATTTAAAAAGGTGCTATATAAAATATGGGCTGAAGAATTGTAGGTTGGGATATGTTAGAACTTAGATAATACATTGTTTAACCAAAATCCACAGTGAGCTGCACATAGTTAAACTATTGCAGCTATTTTGAAGGCTGTCTTTAAGCTGCATATGTTAATTCTGCTGAATGCTATTGCTAGATCTGAAGAGGACAGAGAAGGGCAAGAGGGCTCTTGGCATAACTTAGCATGCTCCGTTTATCTCTTGGTTGCTCCAGAGATCTGATTCTGAGATCGATCTTTAGGCACTACGGACAGCTGGCTTCCTTGCAAATGCTAGCAAAGGCTACTATAGCTAACTCTCACTGCTTGCATTTGGCTGCTCATGCTCTCTTTCTCCTATGGCAAGGGAGAATTAGACCCATTGGGCCCCAAGGTAACCAAAGCTCAGTTCCTTTCTCTACATCTTTCTGCATTTGTCTCAAGAACTTAGTCATGGAATTGTAGCGTTGGAAGGGATCCCAAAGGTCATCTCATCCAACCCCCTGCAATGCAGGAATCTCAGCTAAGGCATCCATGACAGATGGTCATCTAACCTCTGCTTAGAAACCTCCAAGGAAGGAGAGTCCACAACCTCGCATGGGAGTCAGTTCCACTGTTGAAGCGCTCCTACCGTCAGAAAGTTCTTCCTGGCGTTTAGTCGGAATCTTTTTTTGTAACTTGAAGCCATGGGTTCAAGTCCTACCTCCAGAGCAGGAGAAAACAAACTTGCTCTGTCTTCCATTTGGCAGCCCTTGAGTTATTTGAAGATGGCTATCATCTCCCCGTAGTCTCCTCTTTTCCAGGCTAAACATACCCAGCTCCTTCAAACTTTCCTCATAAGACTTCGTTTCCATGCCCTTGATCATCTTGGTCACCCTCCTTTGCACACGTTCCAGTTTGTCAATCGCCTTCTTAAATTGTGGTGCCCAGAACTGGACCCAGTTTTCCAGTTGTGGTCTGACCAAGGCAGAACAGAGCCGTACCGTTACTTTCCTTATCTGCATCTTAAGTATACACACTTTTATTTTGGCAAAATGGGTTGTCTTTCAGCTGTATCTTCGGAGTTCTCGGAACATGATGATCAATGGATGACAGCCAGTGTTACAATTCCTGAAGAGGAATGGATTCCAGGATCTGAGGTTGGCTTGGTAAGTGGTATTTATGTGTGTGGAAAATAGCCTGCTGCACCAGAGGTGAAATTTACATTCATTGTACCACCCAATTTTTCTCTGACCCCTCCCACCTCATGGATATGGCCCCCAGAAGCTTGCTGAGAAATGAATGTCGCCCTTGGAATGAAAAGGTTCCCACTCCTATTCCAAGAACAAAGATGGGAGCGGAGAGTATCCCCTTTGCAGGCTTCCTCCCCTTTTCTTTTTTGCAACAACTGTTTCTTAATTACTCCCTATTAACTATATTGGATCAACATGACTTTTACATTTGGTTCGATGGGGTGGAACTGAGTCAGCAGAATTTAGGGGAGAGAAATTCTGTGATTTGGAAAGCTCACCTCCTTTTCAGGGTTTTTTGCAAGCCCCCCCAAACTTGGCAGCCTTGCCAGCATGTTGCTGGAACTTAGTATACAAATGATGTCTAGCTCTCAGTAGGGCTTTGGCAACAACACGTTTGAGCTACCAATATATTGCTGAAGGAACAAGCAAGTGCTTTCAGTATTAAGGTTTTTGCATATTTGTAAGTCACTTTGAGATTCTTAAAGTATGAAAAGCGACCGTTAAAAAATAAATAAAATATTTAAATAAAAGTTTAAATAAAATATTGGTAAGGAGATGAAATTTAACTAGGTAATAGAGGAGGCATCTTGTAACTTTCAAAAATATTTTTCTTCTAGATTCATAAAGATTTTGCAGATTCTGTCATGCTTTGTGAAACCCTAGTAGATGAGAGGGTAAGTCAGCTTCAGCGTTCTCTAGGAATTTAATTCGAAAGTGTAGGTAAAACCTTTTAATCTCACTCTGCCTCTCTCCTGGGTAGGATAATGCTGTCACTGAACAACAAGCCTTAAAAGTAGAGCTAAAAAACCTGCAAATGGAGAAAGAGCAGATTGCATGTGAGCTGAAAGAGCTGAAGGAGAAAATGTCCATTTATGAGTTTGTGGCTCTCGAAAGAGAGGCAGCAAACGAACAAGAGGTAAGACAAAGTGGGTGTGTAAATAATCCTATTTCTAGACCATCTTTTCTTTTTACAACTTTCTGAGTGGCTGACAAAATCATTTAAACAAGATCAAAATTAGCTGGATCCTGACTCTGTTGCATGCAGATCTCATTTAAATTAGTGGGAACATTGTTTTATGACAAGTGAACTCCAATTGAAAGCAATGGGATTATGGCAACTAACTTAGTCTGAATTGAACTCGGTTAAATATTGAAGCAGCAGAAGCAATAAACTCAGTAGTGCTTATATACATCAGCAGGATTAAAGCAAGAGACATGCTTGAATGCCTGGAGAAATAAAAAGGGTGCCACTGCAGAGAATATCCCCTGATCACTGCCCTTCTCAAATCAAATCAACCCAGTCGTTTTAATTTTATGCCCTCGTTAGAAAGGGGGTGGCAGAAAACATCCTTTGGTGCTAGTAAAATGGCAGGTTCCGGTGATATTGGATCTCAGAGCCACATAAGATTTTAAAAGTAAGTGCTGGCACTGTAAACTGGGTTCAAACTGGCAGTCAGTACCTTTCCTTCATGAGATGTGTTCCCTTCACCTGTATTTAAGAAGTGTCTAATTTTTTTCAGTCTTCCGAAACAGCCCCAGGGACGACATGCTGCAGTAGTCTAGTCAGGAAATGGTGATGGCATGGGTTACTGTGGCCATTAGGGGGACAGGGATGCACAGCTGATGGACCCATCTTAGGTGCTGAAAAGTGCTGCATCTCACACCCCCAGCAACAAAACTGGGTCTAACACAATTGTCTTGACCCTGCTCTGTTTCTTCCACTGTTTCCAGTATGGCCTATGGACATAAAGGACATGGTCTTCCCTATGGTAGTGCCAAAAGAATTTCACTTGACCCCATCTCCTTTCAACGTGCAGCCAAGGCTTCTCTCTTATTTCATGTTCCATTTTATTTTGTTAAAATATCTATGCTCCACCCTTTTCAGTCTGAGACCCTTAGAGATAATTTAGCAACATGAGATTAAAACAAATGCTAATCCTGTCACTGCAAAAAAGCAAAAAAAAAAAGCAAAGCTGCACTTGTTTTTGTGCTTATATTGTGGTATGTAGGCTGTGCTATGAGAGGAGTGAAGTAACCACCATCTTGCATTAACAGTAAAGCATGGTTTGCTGTTACGTGTGAAAACAGCCACTCTTTTTAGTTGCAGCATGGAAGAAAGGCGAGGACTGGATATGAATTTATTTAAATCAATTAGCCCCCAACTAATGCATGCTAGAAAAAGAGTGGACCTGTTCTTCTGAAAAACACTTGTCAGCGTATATTACGCTGCCCTTTTTGTTTTGGATGTTTGAAAAGCCCTCTATTAGTAATGCGCCGTTAAGACTTTATTTCCCAGGGCTTCTCACCACTGTAAGCAATGGGTGCTCACAGAATTTTCTGCTATGTGTTCTATAGTGACAACTTGGCTCTGCTGTGGTTTGGAGGGGAGCTGAATGCAGGGCCTGCTTGTTTTTGTGGTGGGTGACTGCAGGTAAACCTGACTGAAAGGTGCTTCCTAACTGCCTATGCCATTTTGCTTCGATTGCTCCACAGATGCAACTAATGCATGAAATTTCCAGCTTAAAGGCTATTATTACAAATGCTGAAGTTTGCAATCAAGATCTGCAGGTGAGCTGCTGGTGGTGGTAGGCCTTGCATGTATAATGAAACGGAACACTATTGTTTAGTCTTAGCCAAATGCCTTGAATTCTGCGGTCGGTTTGTCAATTTTAATGTCATGCTGCGCAACACCTAAGCCCCCCATCAAGCTGGGAAATGGAAAGGTCTGCCTAAACACGTTGCACTTCTGGTGTTTTTCCTCTTTCTTGCTTTATCAGGAGGAAGTAATGTCAAAAGCCTTGCAGATCGAGGAGCAAAACAATAAAATCAAAGCACTGGAAAGCCATGTCAGTGAGCTAAGAAATCTTATGAGAGAAGCAAAGACAGAAAGTGGGGAAAGCGATGTGTCATCAGTACGTCTGAATCTTTCTTCTTTATTTAAGCAGGGTTGTTTTTTAAAAATTTGTCCTTGATTCCTGGGGATTCTTGCAGGGTGGGTGGGTGGCATATACATACACTTACACACTACCCTCATGTTCTCATACTTTCAGCAGATTTTGAATAACTCGGGGGACGAAATGCAAAAAATGAAGCAGTCTCTCAGTGATGTTGAGGCGGTAGCACTGGATTCCAAGAGAGAATCTTCATTCCTCAGAAGTGAAAACATAGCACTGAAAGAAAAAATGGTGTGTGTATATGTGGACTTGGGATGGCGTAGGTTTTTACTTGCCTTTTATGTAATGTCTGAGTGAACAGATACAATTCTTTTTTGTGGCCTTTTGTCAGTACCTGATATAAGCATGGGGGGAGACAAAAAAGAAACCCCATCTTTTCCTAGTGGCTTATGTCTGGGGAATTTCTTCCCCTCTGAGGTGTGCCTCTGTATTTGTTTAGAAACCAGGTCAAAACTCACCTTTGGAGTCAGGTTTTAAAAGGCTGGTGGGTGAAGTAATTTCTGAGTTGTGTTGCTGCTAATTACATCCTTCGTGCAATTTATGTTAATTTTTTATCTTTTCTTGTGTATATGCCTTTTTATTGCCTTAAATCAGATGTAAACTGCCCTGTGGCCCATTTTTGATGAAGGGCAGTATGGCAATAGCTTAGGAAATACATTAAAATAATAAGCTTCCAGTAGGGCCTTACCTGTGAGTTCTGCTAGTTCCCTAGTAGAATCCCAGTGATGCTTCCTTGGGGTGATGTGGGCTGGGATAACAGTGCTAATATAATCTGGAAGAGGGAGAGGATAGTGCTACTGAAATACGTGGCACTGTGTACAAATCTGCCACTGTCCTGGCATGTAAATGGACACGGGTAATGGCATTTTAACTTGCTCCCATGTAGGACCAGCTCTCAGAGACGTACAAGCAAATGGAAAAAGACATTGAGAGTTACAGAAGACAGTTAGATTCTGGGAAAGTTGCCTACAAGAAAATGCAGTCTGACTTGCAGAAAGAATTGCAGTACTACCTGCAGGAAAATTCAAAGCTGGCATCGCTTTTGGAGGGAAGAGTTCCAAATGGTACCTTTTTTATGGAATTGATATAGAACAAGAAGGTTCTTCGCACAATCGGGCTTTTTCCTGAACTTCTGATAGCTGAGGAATTATTATTTTTTATGAATTAAAACTGGTGCCACCCATGTTCAGGCCCTTAAAGTTAGTTTAAATATTTATAAGGCACCCTTTTAATAAAAAAACAAGGCAATGCGCAACACAGAAACATAATGCTACAATAATGTAAATGAAAAAAATATCTAGGCGTATTTGGCACAGAGTTTGCCTCCCAAAGGTTTGTCTGAACAGCGCAGTTCTGAAAAGACATCTAAGAGAAAGCAGGGGTTGACTCATGCCTAACCTCTGCTGGCAAAAAGTTGCACATAGCAGGTCCTACCACATTAAAGTCTGGGTCCCTGTTCAAGGCAGGCTGAATGCAAGGGGCATGGTCAACAAGCAATTTTTTAATTATTTGCTGCATCTCAACTGGGATTAGTTGGTTCATTTAGCCAATCCTGATGTAAAGCAACTGACCATTCATTCCTGATACAGTGCAGAAGGATTAAAACAAAAAACCCTGGAGAGGTTTATGGCTCTGTCCTTCTCTGCCCTTGCATCCTTCCAGCCAGACATGGACTTGGTTGGCAGACACCTTAGTGACTGGGGACTTTAGGCTCATGGCTTTCAGTCAGTTTATGTCCTGATGGCATGCCTTCCTGATGTGCAATTCAGGCATTAGACAGTGGCTGCGTGGAATTAAAATAAAAGTAGTTGCTGCCCCTTAACATCAGGACTATGGGGCGGGCTGGAGAATTAGAGAGGGGGGTTAGCCTTTGAAAATGAGATGCATAACGAGGGCTGTGGGGGGTAGTGCTGTTTTTCTGGGGGGATGCATACCCCCAAACATTTTGTGAATCTTTGTACTTTTGTTCATTACTGTATTTATTTCCCCCCCCCCCTATAAAATGGTGATTTTCTTGAGTCAAAATGAGAGTACCTCTAAACATTTTTTAGGGGGAAAACACTGGGGAGGGGGTGGGTTTAGGCTGAGCCCCACAAGAAGATGGAAATTGAGCTTCAGGGGTGCATAGGCAAGTAGAGTCTTTCAAGGAAGTTTGCATGTCAGAAACCAGGGTATAAACTGGTGGAAAGGGTGCATGCTTTAGTGGGATATTTTCACAGAAGCTGAGAACTACGGAGCAAGAACTATATATATATCTAGAGTTTGCTTGCAACACAGTGGTAGTGAATCTTTGTCAGTTTTATCCATTGAACTCTTTCCACTCCCCCCCACCCCCAGACTTACTCTCATGTATGGAACTGGAAAGGAAGATTGCAGGTTTAAAAGATGAGCTGAATAAAGCTCTGGAAGAGAACTCAACTTTAAGGAAAGAAGCAGCTGCATCATTAGAAGTCCGTTCGGGACCTGACACTGAAATCTTCCAGAAGGAGGTAAAGACTAATTAAAAGTGGGCTTCCATGAAGCTGTATCTTAGGTCAGGGCTTTCTTAGAACACATTTAACTTTATGGGGGGGGGGATTTCTACCCAGAATATAGTTAATCATCCTTGCTGGAAGACTGGGGTGCTTCTACTACAGTAACTTCTGTAAATAATTCTAATCAGTAATAAGTTCTGGCATAGCAAGCAGTTGCAGAACTTGCGTTCCTCTTAATTTTTTGAAAGCTTATTCTATTAGTTGTCCCCCATGCTTCAGAAACTCAACTAGCTTTAGCTAGCGGGTCAGGCAATTAGTGATGTCAGTCCCATGCCATGGAATATTCCCTCAACAACCCTGCTACCAACCTTCAGGTGCCTTATTTTTTTTAATCAATAGGCCTATTCTGTGGTTTAAACTTTCTAAGATGAGCCAGTCGGTTTTATGATTATTCTGTGTTGCTTTTATGGTGTATTTTTGTAAAGTTGATTATACACAGCCCTGATATTTTATAACGGGAGGTCTCTAAATATTTTTATAAATAAAGAAATATTGCTGTGGATATTTGGGTTCTGTTCCCTACTAGGCTATGTAATTGGATCAGTCATCACCTGTCAACCTGAAGCTTTTTTCTCTAGTCTCTTGTAGAAGGTAGTTTTCTTCCAGTTCAGGGGAGCAAAGTACATCTAAAAACCAAACTTAGCCTTCATTCAGCTAGAACGCATATTATAAAGCACGGCTGAGATGAGAATAGCTGCCTACTACATGCTCATACTCTGTGTATATAAATATGTGCATGTAGGTGCTTGAAAAATCCGAAATGATTGCTTCTCTGGCCTCGGAAAAAGAGATGCTGCTTGCTCAAGTGTCTGAGAAGGAGAGACTGCTGTGCGAAGCAACTATTGCGCTAAAATCCAAAGAAGATTTTGTAAATTCTGAAGCAATGCGCCAAAATGACCTAGCTTTTCAAGAGCTGAAATGTCACTGTGATGAACTGGAGCAGAAATTCTTGACTGCATCAGAAGAAAACAAGCAGATGAAATGCCAACTAGATCTTCTATCTGAAGAAAACCTCAAGCTACAGGCAACCGTTCATGAAGTGACTCAAGAGGTGAGTCCTTCCTGGTTCTCCAACTTTTTATACAGGAGCTGATGGCTTTTCTTGATGCAAACATTTCTGCACTTGAGTCTTTGTTTAGCTCTATCTGAAAAGTTGAGTGGGCCCTTGGTACTGTCTCCTTGCTTCTGTTTTTCCTTACATTGCAGCAAGGCCTGGCACATAAATGTGCTGTTACACAAAGTGCTCAACCCTGCTACACTAACGAGGTTGCTTTGGATCAGAACCACTTTCTGAAATACTTCTAAAACTTTTTTTTAGGAAACCTGAACCAATCCCACAATTCTGGAACTGGCTGTCTTCTTGTGCGTGCTCACTTTCTCTACACACTTAAAAAATGACCATTTTACTTACTAAGCTAGAAGGATCCCAACTTACCACTTTTGGAATGAATGGGAAAGTGAAGCTACCAAACCCATGGAACTGGGTTCCATGTAATCCCCATCAGCTTCTCAAAACAAGGCGGGAATATGACTTGGAATTGCTATTTTTGGTAGCTACTACAGCAGATATATTTTCTGTTTTGTAAACAAAACATGTTTTTACTATGTTTTATATGTACTGTAAGCTGCCCAGAGTGGTTGGGGAAACCCAGCCAGATTGGCGGGGTATAAATATCAAAATTATTGTTATTATTATAATTATTATAATTATATTCCTGTGTGCACGCACAAAATAGCAACCACTAATTCCAGGAATAAATTCTATTCTAGGGTATTCTGCTCCTTAGCAGAATTTTGACACACTCAGAAAACTGGCCACATATGGCCTCTCCCCAGAGTATTAAGTTTAGAAAGGGGAAGGGCCAAGAACATAATCAAAGAAAGACTCAGGGACATTGAAGCCCAAAATGACTTTAATCAACTTCCGATAACTTATAAACTTCTATACAATCCCCAAAGGCCCCATCTAGCAAACTATCTCAAAGTTCTAGACAACGCTAAACACCGATGGGCATTTTCCAGGGCCCGCTTTAATGCTCTCCCTTCAGCTCTTCTAGAGGGAAGATACAATAAAATACCGATCGAACAAAGATTATGTCCCTGTAACAGCAACGAAATCGAAACCATTGGGCATGTCATCTTATACTGCCCATTATATCGAGACTCAAGAAAAGAGCTGATCGGACTGATTCTGAGGAAAATACCTCGTAGTACAGACAACACCTATATCAGACACCTCTTAGCTGACAAAGAGCCCGAAACTAACAGGTCCGTGGCAAAGTACTGTTACATTGCAACAAGAATAAGATGAGCAATGATGTCAACAACGGAGTTCAAATTGTAAACATTGAAGGAACGATAATAAACAGTAGTGACACCTGAATTGAATTTTTAAAACCTTAAAAGTCGAAACCTGGCCATAAATATAAGCACCAATTCTGTGAATTGGCCATATTTTTACTGTTATTTGTAGCACAATACTACTTTTAATGTCATATTTTTTTATAAATTGCTTTCTGGTCACTGACCGTATTAAAGATATTTGATTTGACATGCTCTCATTTCTTTTCCCCCCTCTTTTTTCTTTTTTTTTTCAAATTTGGCAGGAAGTAAGCCCTTTTAGGCTACTGGAGCACACTAGATCCCTTGTGTTACTTACTATGAGCCTAGTTTGAATCTGACTAGGTTTGCATGTAACACGAAGCGAAACCATGGCTTAGCAAAAGCAATATGCCATATGAGTTGTTGGGAGTAAAGATTATGACAGCAGCACTCTTTCCCCCAGTCCTGCTTCTCTCATGATACACAGGACTAAACTGGTGTTGAATCCAAACCTTGGTTTATGGTTTGTCTTGCTCTGCATAATCTATGAGCTTATAGCCAATGCATATTCTTGGTTTATTGCTTGTGGTTTGTCTGGGGTAAGTAAACCGCAAAGCCTGGTTCATGTGCAACACTAGCCCAAACCATGGTTTAGCCCTGGGTTCAGCTGCAGCAGTACTGGGGAGGAGAGTTGTGGGCATGATCTTCACTCCAGAAAACCCACAAGTTTGCTTATTCTTGGTAAGCATAAATTGGCTTAGTGTTAGATGTGAATTGGGACTGTGTAACTTCGCTGAAATCAGTACAGTGGTACCTCGGGATGCGAATGGGATCCGTTCCAGAACCCCATTCGCATCCCAAACAGAACATAAGGCACGTCTGCGCATGTGCGGGTTGCATTTCACTGCTTCTGCGCATGCACGTGATGTCATTTTGACCTCATGCGTGAGCGGCGAAACCTGGAAGTAACGCTCTCCGTTACTTCCGGGTCGCCGCGGAGTGCAACCCGAAAGCGCTCAACCTGAAGCATATTTATCCCGAGGTATGACTGTATTGTCCACAGGTAACAAAAATCTTTGTGGGAGAAAATGTGCACTATAAAGACCCTTTTAATGACAAGAATCAAAATTCAGTGTTTCTAAGTTGGATTTGAGCTTCATTCTTACATATTAACGTCAAATTTTTACTTACATTAATGTCATTCTTACTTATTTCTGTCTTTCCATAAATTATAACGAAGCTTTCTGGCAAGATCAAAGAGATGCAAGAAAAGGACTTGGAGCAAGAGAAGCTTCTTGGTATGAGAGAACAACTTGATGAAGCACATCAAAAACTGAGTGAAATGGAGCAACTCAAAGACCAGTTGAAGACCTGGGCATCTAAAATGGAGGCTGAGGAAATGGAGAAGCTGGGCCTAGCTCAAAGGCTCCAAGAGAGTGAAGAAGAGATGCAGGCGCTGACTCAGGAAAGAGATGACCTGAAGCAGAAGGAGGAGGCTCTCAGGCATGAGAGAGATCAGATCAAAGAAGATATCCAAGAGACTGTGTCAATGGTAAGCAAAACCTCCCACTTGGATTACCGCAATGATGCTGCATTTGAAAATCGTTCAGACCCTTCAGGACTTCATTATGTGATCATACCACACCAGTGCTTCTCCATATCAAAGTTCTGGTTTTAGCCTTTAAAAGCTGTAATTAGTTTGAGGTGGGATGGAACAAGCCTATAAATGAGCACACGTGAAACTCACATGGAACCAAAGTTTTCAATGTTTGATATTGCATTCTGTTTTTATATGTGTTGGAAGCCTCTCAGAGTGACTGGAGCAACCCAGTCAGATGGGCAGGGTATAAATAAAATTATTATTATTTATTTATTTATTTGGATAATTCATCTGCCCCGACATCAAACTAGAGAGCTTTGAAAAGGGTAGCAGAACAATTCATAGCACTGCTGCAAGGCAGTGTATGTCATGGGAACTCTAATGCATGTATCTTTTTTGCTTTGCTTTCAATGTAAAAGAACATTGAATCACAAGAAGAACTGAGAAGTGCGCAAAATTCTCTGAAGCATCGTGAGAAGCAAATTAAAGAACTGGAAGAAGCCATTGTGGAGAGAGAATCACAGATTTCAAGTGTTAAAGAATCTCTAGGGGTCACTATTGAAGAACAGAAGCAACAGGTAACATCTGTCTCAGTTGCAAAGTTTATTGGTCTAGGTTGGAGCATACAGTGGTGCCTCGCAAGACGAAATTAATTCGTTCCGCAAGTTTCTTCTTCTTGTGAGTTTTTCGTCTTGCGATGCACGGTTTCCCATAGGAATGCATTGAAAATCAATTAATGCGTTCCTAGGGAAACCGACTTCAGACCAGGTCCGGGGACAGTCTGTCCCCCGACCTCTTCTGAAGGCTGGGGGGGGGGACAAGGGCTTTTCTTCCCACCCCCAGCATTTTAAAAAACCCTGGGACAGCGGAGGGCTTCTCCGCTGTCCGGGGCGATCTTAAAATGCTGGCAGACGGCATTTTAAAATCGCCCCAGGACAGCGGAGGACTTCTCCGCTGTCCGGGGCGATTTAAAAGCCCCTGGGAAGGCAGGCAGGGGGGACAAAGACTTTTGCCCCCCGCCAGCCTTCAGAAGAGGTCCTGGACCTCTTCTGAAGGCTGGCGGGGGCGAAAGTCTTTGCTCCCCCCGCCTGCCTTCAAAAGCTGTCCGGCCAAGGCTTCGCGGACCTCTGCCGGCATGCCGAAGCCTGCGCGCGCTGACATCAGCGCACCCAGGCTTCGCGGACCGCTCCGCCAGCAGCGGCAGGGCTGCCGCTGCTGGCGGAGACTTGCCGGCATGCCGAAGCCTGCGCGCGCTGACATCAGCGCGCCCAGGCTTCGCGGACCTCTCCTGCCTTCAAAAGCCGTCCGGGATAGCGGGAAGCGCTTCCCTGCTATCCCGGACTGCTTTTAAAATGCTGGCGCTGGGGAGCAAAGCCTTTCGGCCCCCGCCAGCCTTCCTGGACCTCTTCTGAAGGCCGGAGGGGGGGGGAAAGGCTTTGCTCCCCACCGCTAGCATTTAAAAGAGGTCCCCGGAGATTTCCCTATGGGCTTTCGTCTTGCGAAGCAAGCCCATAGGGAAATTCGTTTTGCGAAGCGCCTCCAAAACGGAAAACCCTTTCGTCTAGCGGGTTTTCCGTCTTGCGAGGCGTTTGTCTTGCGGGGTACCACTGTAATTAGGAGCATAAGAAATGTCCTGTATAATCTTGATCCTTACTCCACGTAGCTCATTATTGTCTTTTCTGACTGGAAGTGGCTCTCCAGGTTTTGGGACAGAGGACATTCTCAGCCCTCTCTACAAATGCTGGGGATTAAATCTGGGACCTTCTAAGTGCAAGACAAGTGTTCTGTCACTGAGCTGTGGCCCTTTTTGCTTTGAGTGTGAATGTTTGGGGTTCAGTTCCGAGACAAGCCCCATTTAAGGCAACACCACTTGTTTTCTGTGGTGACTAAAGCTTAAAGTACTTTAGCTGGCCTGTAACATGTTAAGACATCAGAGGCTGTTAAACACTGCTAGAAAGTTTGGGGTGTTGTAGAATAATTGTTGAAATGGTGCTATATTGGATGGAGGCACGAAAGTGCAGACTTCCATGTATATATTAACTCCAGCATCAGAGGCACCCATTTTATGCATGCTGGTTGCTGGAGAATAATGCCCTCATACCCTGCTCTGCAGAGGCATCTGGTTGGCTGCTGCAGGAAAATAGGGTTCTGGAGTCAAGAAGCCTCTTGGTCTGATTCAGCAGGGCTGTTCTAGCACTGCCCTCTTCTTCTTGCCAAACATCTCTGAATGTTCTGCACTGGATTGTTGATCACTGTTTGTTCACCTGCCTTGCATGAAACATTTTCTAGGGTAGAAAACAAATGTTGTGTTTCATCTTGCAGATACTAAAGTTAACAGAGCACTTGGACTGCTTCAACACAGAGAAAAATATGTTAACTGGAGGAGACGGGGATGCAGAGGAAATCAAGCTGGAGGAAAATAACCAGCTTCAGTCAATGAAGGAAAAAATCTTGTCCCTTGAGCAAGAGAAGACTTTGCTAAAGCAACAACTGGAGAGTCTGCAAGAGCAAAAGAACTGGTACCTGGAAAGCAGTCAGCTGGTAATTGTTGTGTATTGCTTGTTGTGGGCATCAGTCTGTCCTGAGAGGCAATGGAGTACGCCTCCAGAAGTGACCTCCCTGGGAGCCAGCCTGGGCAGTGTGTATGGAGCTCCTGGGCTGCCCAGAAGACAAGACCCCCCCACTCTTGACCTCACTGATGTGGTACAAAGAGAAGCAGAGCAACACATTTAGCACCAACATGGCAGCAGGAGTTGCCAGAAGGAGGCATGCAAGGCACCATCCAGCCATCTTAGGGACTCCACTTCAGATTTTTGTAGTGTTTACTCCTTATCCTTTTCTTCTCCCAAAGATATTCCACAAGGCAGTTGTGTATTACAGGGGTACACTTGTATTTGTGTATTACAGGTGGGCATTTTAGTGTCATGTCAAGCCATAACCCAAGGTTTACTGTGCACAAACAAACTGGAGATTGGAAACAAACCATGATTGGTACACCAAAAACAAACCTTGGTTTACCGTCATGGTTTGTTTCCCCTTACCCCAGCACTAGCACAGAGGAGCAAAGAAGATATAATTTGCTCATCTACAGTAAGTCATGACTTACAGTGATGTGCACAGATGGTCAGACACAAGTTGAAGTCTGTCTTTGAGAGAAACTGTTAAGTTAGTCTTGGATATTTAAATTGGAATTTTTAAAAGTTCCAGCCCATAATTTTAGATAAACTTTAAATAGCTGAAATGGCTTTTTGCAAGCAAGTTTACAAGAATTCAAACAACTGACTACATGGTGTGTTAAAGGTTCTTATAACATTTTGGGGATAAAGTTAGAATATTGACACTTGCAGAGCTAGAGCACATCTCTGACATCTTGCCCATTTTCCTTTTCTTAAGCCACCTAGCAAGATCCAAGAGCTGCAAACAGGAGACACTGAAGAGGATAGACTTTGTATGAAAGAAGAACTCTGCCAAGCTCTAGGGAAGTTGAGTGAAATGGAACAACTGAGGGAGCAATTAGAAGCTAGTGAGTCTAGAATTGAAGCTGAGGTAATGGACACGCTGACAGTAACTCAGAAACTTCATGAGCAGGAGGAAGCGATGAAGGCCGTAATGCAAGAACGAGATAATTTGAAGGACATTGTGGGTTCTCTCCAAATAGAGAAGGATCTCATCAAGGAAAAGATTGAAGCAGATGTAGCTCAGAAGCTTCATAATCATGAAGGAGCAATGGAAGTCTTAATCCAGGAACGAGATGATTTGAGGAGGAAGCTGGATGTTCTCCAAAAACAGGGGAAGCTTGCCACAATAGAGGCTGAAACAGAGGTGCTTCATGAGCATGAAGAAGCAATGAGAGCCTTGACCCAGGAGCGAGATTACCTGAAGGACAAATTGGATGCTCTCCAAGTGGAGAGGGATCTCATCAAGGAAGAGATGCAAGCAGCAAAATCAATGGTAAAATATTATTAGTTTTTATTAAGTTCATTTTTCTTTTTACTATTTACAGTTTATTGATTTTTGTAAAATTGCAAAATTGTATCTGCCAACCAACCTTTCCTTCCCAATGTTTTGGTCCATTTTATAGCTTGCACTTTCATAATTGTGCTGGTCTTTTAATGGAAGCCGAAAGTAAGCCAGAAACCTTTATCAGTTGGATATCTTACCATCGCAAGAGTTCTAGGAATCGAGAGCAGATTTTCATAGACCAATTAATGTGCACAGACTAGGGAAATGTTGTGCATGCCCATGTGAGGCCAGGAGCCTGTTCAGATGCATGTTTGTCTCCAGAATATTACCAGGGTGAAATGGGGAATGGGCCTATAGGTTGTGCGCACACCCTTCCAACTCACTGTAGGGGAAAAGTAATTCTTATATCACACCATGATGAGAGTAAAAAAGCTTGAGGCTAGGAGTGGACAGGCCCTGAAGCCTTAAGGGATGCATGGTTAGTCAGAAATGAGACTGATCTTGAAAAGTGACAGGGTTCTGAAACTAACGGTTAATTTTGAACCCATGAAAGCTTTCTCTTAAGCAGCAAGACAACGAGAGAGCGCTAGAGGAGCTACTCGGACTGAAAGAAGAGCTCTGTGAAGCCCAGCAGAAACAGAGTGTCATGAAGCAGCTGGATGCAGATCTTAAGGCCAGAGAATCTGAACTTGAGGCTGAAAAGATGGAGAAGTTGGAAATGGCGCAAAGGCTTCGCAGCAGCGAAGAAGAGAAAAAATCCCTAACCCAGGCGATGGATGCCCTGAAGCAGAAGTGGGAAGCTCTCCAAACTGAGAGTGAGTCACTCCAGAGACTTCTGGAAGCAACTACTTCAATGGTAAGTAGCTGTGGGCCACAAAATGGCGGGAGGAGCAGTTTGCTTCCTTTAGATAGCCAGCCTATTCTGCCCCTACCACCTTAGAAAGCAAGTTTGATTCTGGCAAAGTTACAGCTGGTGGAGTGGAAATGAAGCTGGTGGTCTAAAGCTGAGCAGGACGTGGGTGGCGCTGTGGGTTAAACCACAGAGCCTAGGGCTTGCCAATCAGAAGGTTGGCGGTTCAAATCCCTGTGACGGGGTGAGCTCCCGTTGCTCGGTCCCAGCTCCTGCCAACCTAGCAGTTCGAAAGCAGTTCTGGTTCGCCAGAAGCGGCTTAGTCATGCTGGCCACATGACCCGGAAGCTGTACACCAGGTCCCTCGACCAATAAAGCGAGATGAGCGCCGCAACCCCAGAGTCGGCCACGACTGGACCTAATGGTCAGGGTCAGGGGTCTCAAGCTGGCCTTAAATATGGGAAGAGGAGGATTTGTAAGCTATTGAAGGAAGGCTTCTACTTCAAATCTAGTGGCAGGGGATGGCTCTTCTTGCTCCAACATATAGTATCCCTGGAAGCAGGCAACTTGGGAGAAGGGTTTGGGCATTAGGGAAAGGGAGCTCCAGGCTCCACCATTCAAGGTAAACTCTTCATAAAACTGAGTAAGAAAGCAGAACTTGCTTGATGAGTGTTTCTCTTTATATAAAGGTCCAACAGCTAGAAGAAAAGAATCTTGACCTGATGCAACTGCTTGAGTCGAGGGAAGAGCAGAGCCGGACGGCTGCGGAACGTCTGAATGAGATGGAGCAATTGAAGTCCAAGACAGAAGCCATGGAGAAGGAGAAAGCAGAATTGCTTCAGAAGCTTCACAGCGCCGTGCAGGACTTCAGAACTGTAAATCGGGAAAAAGAGGATTTGAAAACCGCAGTAGATGCTCTTCAAACTGAGAAGGATAACATGATCCAGACCATCCACCGCCTTGGCGAGAGTGTAGAGAAGATGGTTGCAAATGTAAGAGCCCATTTTTAACACCTTTAGACCAACGGCAGTGAATGAGATCCAGTCAGTGGACTGGATCCATGACATGTACACACTGCATGTGATATATTTGATGGGGGGTGCGCCCAGCTGTCAATTGCCTGACATCAATCAGTTGACCCATTTTCTCCCCGCACAGTTTGAAATCAAACTGGATGGGCAAATTAGCAGTGCCTGCAAACCCTTTCAGCCTACCTGCTGCACACCTGGCATGTGTATGATGTCAGGTAGAAGACAGGTGGGCACTGTGTGGCTGAAACTGTCTCATGGTCAAGATGGGAAGGCCTGCCAGACCAAATGAGGCCCCTGGTCTGGAAGTTCCCACCCCTTTTTTTAGAGAGAGACCTTTCTGATATTGTAGAAAAACCATGGGCACAAACGACTATTGGTGGCTTAACAGTGGCTGTTCTGTCTTTAAAAGAATCTGAAGCTGCAAGAACAACTCGAGCTTAGCATTAGCCATAAGGAAGGAGCTAGTGGAATGGCAGAGGAACCAGAAGGAAGGATCTTAGATGAGAATTCTCAGGCCTCAGGACTCCAGGAGATACTGGACCAGACAACTGATCGACAGAAGAGAGAAGTAAGAAAATGCTTCCTTTTTTTTTTAATAACACTTGAGTATTCAGAATGGGCCACCTTCATTCTCATTAATTCTTACTTAAAAATAAAAGCTCACAGTAGGAGGCTTTTCATTGTGAGAGAAGGGGCCATTTATAACTGACTTTGAACTTCAGTGCTTGGGAGCTTAAAAAAAACAGAATAAGATGACATCTATCAGACCAAAAATACGTGGGATATTATTGTGGGATCTTTCCCGTATTGATGGCAGTTAAGCTATTATTTCTTAAAACATTTTAATCTGCTGTTCAGCCAAAAGCCTGGAGCAGATAATGAATGATCCATATGAATGATATTGCATTGCAGGCCTTACTTGAATCTCAATCTCTATATACTAAACAGGCTGAGTGCTGCCGAAAAGCTGAAGCTGCCCTGAAAGCATCTAAGGAGCAAATCCAAGAACTGCTCCTAGAGTTGAATACACTGAAAGAAAAGCAAACACATTGTGCGGCTGCTAATCTTGCCTTGGAAGAAGAAAACTATAAGCTGGGGGATAAATTAAAAGCAACAGAAGAACAACAGAAGGTGTGCTTTCATTTATCTTACTCTGGTTTTTCTCAGGACTGTGAGAGGACACACTGATGCAAATCTTTTGAGGATTTGCTTAGTGTGACTTTCACTGGGGTTGGCTCTTGTGTGAAGCATAACATCACCCGACATCACAGTGGCATTAGGTCAGGTCTTCCCCACCTCTGTTCTAGGCACCTCTGTTCAATGGCATTTTCAGTTGTCATCAGTGATGCCTCCAACTGCTATTCCTCTCTAACTAGAGTCTGAAGCTGAAAATCCAAGAGCTGGAAAATGCCTTGAGTGAAATGAGAGGAAATTTCCAGGAAAGGGAAAAGGCTGCCCAGTTGGCAATGGAGCTGAAAGTGCGAGCGGCCAAGAATGATGCGGTCCGTCTTGGGGCTGTATTAAAGGAGAAGGAGAACAGCCTAAGAAGTGCACTTGCAGAACAAGAAACTCTCAAGGTATGCACTGACTTCCTAAGAGAGGCATTTCCTGTTTTCATGCTTTCTATTACAGACGGAAGTGAAGCTTCTCCAAAGAACCTAATACTGGTTTACGTTCATTACAACATTTTATGTTCCCTCCACTCACCTTTCTCCCGATCTGCTCCAGGCAGCATGCATGTCTTCCTCCACCTCCATTTTATCCTCATGCTGTTAGTTCACTGATAGTAAGTGGCCCAAGGTGACCCAGTGAGCTTCATGGCTAAGTGGGGGTTTGAACCTTGATCTCCCTGGTCCAAAGCCAGCACTCAAACCCAGGCATTGGGAACCTCAGCCCCACAGGCCAGATTAGACCCAGCATGAGTCCCAGTTTGGCCCATGAGGCTGTCTTTCCCCAATGTATTGCCACCTGCCCCACACCGAATGTCATATGTGATGCTGGATGTAGGGGCAGATAGATGCAACTGGAAAGGACCAGCCAGAAGCTCAAAGTGGGTTCCTGGTTATTTGAGAGTGCTGCTCAGCAAGCCCTACTGGAATCAACTGCACCCAGGAATTCTAATAATAATAAATGATCAAACATTAAAAACGTCCCTAAACAGGGCTGCCTTCAGATGTCAGATAGTTGCTTATTTCCACAGAGCGGGCACCACTACCCAGAAGGCCCTCTGCCTGGTTCTCTGTAGCTTCACTTCTCGCAGTGAAGGAACCCCCAGAAGGCCCTCAGAGCTGCACTGAACGATGGGGGTAGAGATGCTCCTTCAGGTATACTGGGCCGAGGCTGTTTGGGACTTTAAAGGACAACACCAACACTTTGAATTGTGCTCAGAAACATACTGGGAGCCAATGTAGGTCTTTCAGGACCAGTGTTATATGGTCTGGGCAGCTGCTCCCAGTCACCAGTCTAGCCGCTGCACACTGGATTAGTTGCGCTGCATTCTGGATTAGTTGTAGTTTCCAGGTCACCTTCAAAGGTAGCCCCATGTAGAGCGCATTGCAGTAGTCCAAGCGGGAGTTAACTAGAACATACACCACTCTGGCTTTCTCCAATTTCAGCCATGGTTTTGAATTCATTTTTGCTTTGTGGACAGTGTTTCATAACGACCATCAGGTGATTGACAGGTAGGTGGCCTTGTGCATCCGTCAGAGCAGCTTCCCACCCCTGCTCTAACCACGAATCAACACTGGCTTTTCATAAATCCATGCGAAACCAAGAATGTATTGTACCTTGTATATGCTGACAGATACAGTGCCTTTAGCCAAAGCACTAGAGCCCAGGTCTGAGGCTCTGTAAGTTTACTTAAATGAATAATTCTTAATCTTGGCTAGTAGGAGGAAGTTGCTGCTGCTACTGTACAACTCTGGTAGCCTGTTCTCATCTGGCATTTAAACTGTTGATTATTTTTAACTATTGTCTGTAGCTTTCGAGAATAACCTGCTTGCCAAGGGTGCATAGCAACTCTTCCCCCTCCTGCTTAGACGTCTTCTTGCCTCCCTCTTAATTTTAGGCCAAACTTAATGAAGGTGCTGAATCGAACAAGGACGAAATCGAGGACCTCAAAACTCAGCTTGCTAAAGCAGACATGGCAAGAATGAAGCAGAGCAAATATTTTGATCAAGAGTAAGTCCTGTTTTACTTAGCTGGCTTTTCTTTCGTAGCCTCTGAGTAATAGTCTGGAGATCCAACTTCCCTGGAAATTGTTAGCCTTACAGGATTGGGGCTTGGACTTCTGGGGCTTAAGCTGGACTCCACTGGCTCCTTAACTCAGGGGAGCCTAGTTGACAACATTGGTCCCTAAGCAGGTGGCCCTCTTGTCTGTTCTTTAAGGGGCAGATGGAACTGATGGGGAGGAGGTGCCCCATCTAGCTGGTGAGAGCCGCAGTGAGTGGAGGTAGCAGTTACTGCTGTCTGATTCTTCTCTTCCTCAAAAGCCAATTGGAAATGATGGCCTCTGACAAAAGTAGGCTTTGGCCTCTGAAAACATATGTCAGAAAAGTTAGTATTTAAAGTTTGGCCCTTAGTTGACTCCAGTTTTATGTCAATAAATTTCCCACAGTGGGAAACGGGAAGAGAGGCCTTTGCCTCCAATCCAGCTGGGCTTTTCATAGGTACTTAACACTTTTGCAGAGCAACCCCATGCCCCTATTTGGAAGGAAGCCCCAGAGTGTTAAATGGAGCATGCTCCCAGGTATAGTTATGGTTTTGGGGTTGGGGAGGGATTGCAGCCTTGATTTCTTTTTCTTTTTTATAAGCAAAATGAAGAATCACGTTATTGTTCTTTTTCCAGAATGGCTAACGCAAAAGCTCTTGCAGAGCACAGAGAGGAGCAGTTGAGAAAACTCAAGGAAGAACTTCGCAGAGTGCAACAAGAGCAGGATGTGACTGGTAAGCAGATATCAATCGAGCAAAGTCATATTCTGACTGTATCAACTGTGTTTTTAAGGTGTAGATCAGGGGGTGGAACCTCTGGCTTGGGGATCAAATGTGGCCCTCTAGGCCTCTCCAACCGGCCCTCAGGACATTCTCCAGGCCATACCCATTACTAACTTGCTCTTTGAGTGTCTTTGAACTGTGATAAATGCCTTTTGTTTGCCTGGATGGAAAGATGTGTGTGTAGTGAACTAAATCTTTAAAGTAGAATACAAGAAGGGAAGGCGGGTGGAAGCAAAGAGAATAAGGTTTTGAAAGCTATAATATGAAAGAGTTTTCTTTTATGCTAAATTTTTTTTCCTTTGTATTTTTCTTTTTTCTGTTGTTCTGTTTGGATTTTTGATGTTTGTTGTTTGTTTTTGTGATTTTTGTTGTTTTTTGTTGATGTTAATTTTCTGGAAAACTTTAATAAAATATTATTATAAAAAAAAAAAAAGAAAGATGTGTGTGTAGAAGCCTCTGTGTGACTATTATGTAGCCTCCTGTACAAACCTCCAAGTCACACCTCTGATCTTGCCCATTTTTTCCACTGGCCCTTCTTGCCACTGGGGTGCAGCTTCCAAAAGGTTACCACCAAGGAAATGCGACCCCATGCTGCAAAGGGCCAAATGGGCAATCATTAAAAAGGCCTCTTTTGCTATTCTGAGTTATGGAGCACAATAAATAAGATATGTCTAACAAGAGAAGCAAGCATTTCATCTCTGTAAGGCTAGTATTCACAGATTCCTTTGTGTCTCCGAAGTACTTACAGTTACTGTAAAACCAACTGATAAAGCTTCCCTTGAAATGTGACGCAATGCTTATGTTGATTTGATTGCAAAATCGGTATTTTTAAAATTGCATCTTACCTTGACAATTGTATTATCGAGGATTTTATAGAGTTCTTTAAGTTTGGAAGTTGAGAATTCTGTGCTAAAATGCCCAGCCTGAACCTATATACCTTGTAAATTTGTATCTTTGCTTAATCTTCTAATCTCTATCTGCTGTCTTGGAAAAGGGTGTATTCAGTATTCAGGATATATGCATCCCCACCTTCTATGCACCTCTGCAGACCTGGGAAACTGGCACACATAGGCATAGCAGAGTTCTTAAATGGTACAGTTACCATCCAACGCAGGCATAGGCCAACTCCAGCCCTCCAGATGTTTGGGACTACAATTCCCATCATCCCTGACCACTGGTCCTGTTAGCTAGGGGTGATGGGAATTGACTACAAGACATCTGGAGGGCCGGACTTTGCCTATGACTGATCCAACCATTCATGTTGTTTGCTTCTGTCAGTCACTGTGATGTTTTCAGTTTTGTTTTGTTTTTTTTAAAAAAAAATTATTCAAAATTTTCTAAACATTTATCCTCCAACACATATAACCCCATCCCCAACAATACAATAAACAGACAAAAAAGAAAAAACAAAGAAAAACATACAGAAGAGAAGAAAAAGTTATAACATCATCGTCAATTTCTTACTTTCCTCACTTTTGGACTTCCTCACGTCTTTCGTTCCCGCTTTCCAAATTTAGAAAATTCTAGACAGCAAATTATCACCTTGTTTCAATTTCTTAGTTATATTTTTCCCATATTATGTCTTCCAATTTTAAATTTGTTTTCCAAAGTCTTAGATACTTAGATATGCATAATATTAACCAGTAGATTAACTTTTTCTCAAATCTCATCTATTCTCAAACTCTTATCAACTAACTTACTGATGCCACCTTTATTCTTACTCTTACATCATCTTAACATTCATACAGTTTACAATGTTTTTGTAGATAGTCCTTGAATTTCTTCCAATCCTCTTCCACCACTTCTTCTCCCAGGTCGCGGATTCTGCCAGTCATTTCTGCTAATTCCATATAGTCTATCAGTTGCATCTGCCATTCTTCCAGCGTGGGCAAGTCTTGAGTTTTCCAGTGTTTAGCTATGAGTATTCTTGCTGCTGTTGTTGCATACATGAAAAATGTATAGTCCTTCTTTAACACCCTCTGGCCGACAATGCCCAAAAGCAAGGCCTCTGGTTTCTTAGGGAAGGTATATTTAAATACCTTTTTCAACTCGTTATATATCATTTCCCAGAAAGCCTTAACCCTAGGACAAGTCCACCAGAGGTGAAAGAACGTTCCTTCAGTTTCTTTACATTTCCAACATTTGTTATCAGGCAAATGGTATATTTTTGCAAGCTTGACTGGGGTCATGTACCACCTGTATATCATTTTCATAATATTTTCTTTTAAGGCATTACATGCCGTGAACTTCACACCGGTGGTCCATAACCTTTCCCAGACAGCAAACATAATATTATACCCAATGTCCTGTGCCCATTTTATCATAGCTGATTTGACCGTTTCGTCTTGTGTATTCCATTTTAGCAGCAAGTTGTACATTTTTGAGAGAACCTTAGTTTTGGGTTCTAACAGTTCTGTTTCTAACTTTGACTTTTCCACCTGGAAACCTATCTTTTTGTCCATATTAAAAACCTCTTTAATCTGAGCGTAATGTAACCAATCTCTCACTTTATCTTTTAGTTTTTCCAAACTCTGCAACTTCCAAAGGTCTCCATCTTTTTCTAATAATTCCCAATATTTCGGCCATTTGGCCTCCATATTGGGTCTTTTCTGGGCCTTGGCTTCCATTGGTGACAGCCACCTTGGGGTCTTATTCTCTAGTAGGTCTTTGTATTTTGTCCATACATTAAACAATGCTTTCCTGACAATATGGTTCTTGAAAGCCTTATGGATTTTAACCTTGTCGTACCACAAATATGCATGCCATCCAAAAGCATTGTTAAAACCTTCCAAATCTAAGACATCAGTGTTTTCAAGAAGTAGCCAGTCTTTCAGCCAGCAAAACGCTGCTGCTTCATAGTACAACCTTAAGTCTGGCAGGGCAAACCCCCCTCTTTCTTTAGCATCCGTTAATATTTTAAACTTAATTCTGGGCTTTTTGCCCTGCCAGACAAATTTCGAAATGTCTCTCTGCCACCTCCTGAAACACTCCATTTTGTCCATAATCTGTAGGGTCTGGAACAAAAACAACATTTTTGGCAATACATTCATCTTTATAACAGCAATTCGACCCGACAAGGAAAGTTTCAGTCTAGACCAACCTTCTAGATCCTTCTTGATTTCTGACCAACATTTTTCATGTGATGTTTTCAGTTTTTAACAGGCTCCTTTCGTTAACCCTCTTTTTCAGTAATAGCATCGCACAAAGACAATTCTCAGGTACCACTAGCGATTACTTGTGGCGGTGGAAGTGGAATAGTACAAAGTACCCAGCTGCTTGTGCTGAAATCTGAGCATGCGAAACTGGAAAAGGAACATGCTCAACTGAAGAAAAAACTGGAGATTATGTTAAAGTAAGCCCTAAGGTTTCTCCCACTATCAGTTGCATGTCTGTTCTTCAAAACTGTGACGCTCTTAACAGTGGCATTTCTGTTGAGACAAATATACTTGTGCATAAGTTTGGTAGGCCATGAATCACAGAATCCTAAGCTGCCAGCCTGCCTTGGACTGCAAAAGCAAGCGGCCTGGTGAACCACAGTATGTGGCTGATGTGTTGCATACAGGTGGTGTGGACTGGCTTCTCAGAATGCACCATGCCTTGGCATGGGGGTCCCCAACCTTTCTGGGCCACCAGGACACATGTGGATGTCTAAAGTTGTTGTGCACACCACAAAATACTCATTTTACAGAGCCCAGTATGAAAAAGACCTCTGTGCTCCCACCCAAAAAAACCTAAACAAATAATCCACAGCCTTGGTGAGCACTTGTGTGTGTGTTAGGGGGCACTATGGTACCCACAAGTGACAAGTTGGGGGCCACAAGTGTAGCACATTCCATTTAGGTGTTTATAATGTTAACGGAGAAATCTGAGGGCTCCCTTGGGCAAAAAAAACAAGGACACCAGCCAGGAATACCAGAGCAAAACAGTGAATTGTTACGTTTGGTATTGTGTAGCAGAGGCCCTTTGGATAGATAGGAAGAAACTGTGATGAAGTGTTTTGTGGGGACAAGTCACAAAAGTGATTGTGCTGATTTTGGTAGTGCATGATGTGTATGATATCTGCTGGAGGGGCAAACCCCCACCCCCCCCATACATTAATTCCTGCAACACTACCTAGGACACCACTTTTACCATGAATTTAGGACAGCTTTTTTTTTCCTTTTACAAATCTGCACTCGGCCACAAAGCTCAGTCGTGACCTCTTGACCCAAGCTATGTCCCAGATCTGTTGTGAGTAGGGAATGGGGTGTGGGAGAAGAGTCATGGCTGCTGCCTTGTGTTCCTTGGAGTTGAAAGGCAAGCTACACAGTACAAAACCAATCAATACCATTGAATACATTTGTCCATTCCAGTGTCAGTTCACGACACGTCAGTTTGTAAGCAGGCCAAAGCCCAGCTTGCATCATTTTGAATGAAGGCATGCTAGAGGTTTTTTTAAATAGTGCTGCTGCCACTATTCAGAAGGGGAGGAGGTGGAAACAAGTTCCATGTTTCAGGGGGTGGGACGTTAGAAGCAGAGTCTGATCTCTCCAGCGAGGGGGCCTGGCAGCAGGCCTCCCACTGCTAGCTCGCCTCCTTTCTCCAAATAGGAACTAGTAGTTCAAATCTTAGGCAGCGATCACATGTCTGACAAGAGGACTGATCTCATTTAGGCCACCTCGGAGAGTCATGCGCAGAATTTCATGCGAGGCACTATTTAGAATGAGAAGACTTCCAGTGGCAGCAAGCTGAATTTCTTCAGGTAGATCAGCCTGAGGGCCACTAACTTCTAAACACCCTTGCACATCCCTCTACATCCAAGCCTTTATCAGAGTGCAAGGACAGGCAGGCAAAAATACTCAAGAAGGCTGTGAAGGAAGGCCAGCGTCCTGGGGAGATCCCCAAGGGCCAGGCAGAGAGGTCTACATAGAGGTCTGCCTTTGGCCCCCAGGGCTGAGGTTCCCCACTGTTGTGCTAGATGAAGCCAAGCCTTTCCCTCTGCTTGTAAGGGGTGGGTTTTGTAGGCTGAGAGCACCAAAATGACTCTTCTCTTCAACGTGTCTCCTTTGTGTTCCAGAAATGAGCTGCTCTGGAAGGAGGAAGTTAGGAAATGGAAGGAGCGGTCCTCAAGGAGGCAGCGGTCCACAAGCGAGGAGCAACAGCTAAAATCACCAAGGAAGACTGCTCCTCCTTCTGTGTCGGAGCAGCCATCTTCTCCCTGTAGGGAGTGGTCTTTGAGGAGGCAGCAGCCCACAAGCGAGGAGCAACAGCTAAAATCTCCAAGGAAGACGGTTCCTCCTTCTATGTCGGAGCTGCCATCTTCTCCCTGTAGAGAGCGCTCCTTGCAACCAGCTCTGTCGTTGGACACGCCCATTCCTGTGTTGTTGAGCTGTCCGACCTTCTTTGATAACTCTCGCTTAGGAGATTTTAAAGGTAGGTAATGGCGTGGGACGCGGGTGGCGCTGTGGGTAAAACCTCAGCGCCTAGGACTTGCCGATCGTCAGGTCACCGGTTTGAATCCCCGTGGCGGGGTGCGCTCCCGTTGCTCAGTCCCAGCGCCTGCCAACCTAGCAGTTTGAAAGCACCCCCAGGTACAAGTAGATAAATAGGAACCGCTTACTAGCGGGAAGGTAAACGGCGTTTCTGTGTGCTGCGCTGGCTCACCAGATGCAGCTTGTCATGCTGGCCACGTGACCCGGAAGTGTCTGCGGACAGCGCTGGCCCCCGGCCTCTTAAGTGAGATGGGCGCACAACCCTAGAGTTGGACACGACTGGCCCGTACGGGCAGGGTACCTTTACCTTTAATGGCGTGGTACAGGGCTGTGCAGAAGGCAGACAGAGATCTGCTGGGAGACCTCTGGGAGATTTGCCGCAGATTGGCAAGGATTTGTGAATTCCAGCAGCTGGACAACTGCAATAACGAAACAACTGTGTCCCCACCCACTGAAACAAAAGACTGCTGAAATGAAGCAGGAACCACAGGAATGGCTTGTTTCTGGCACTCAGAACAAATCCCTTTGTTTAGCAGCTGCTTGGGGCACCATGTTCTTTCATGCATGTTACAATTGGTTGATGTTGGGGTTCTCAGAAAACACAGTGGTATTATTTTCTATTAATATATATCTACTGCCCTTCATTACAATACCCCCCCCCCCAGTTTTTATTTAGAGATGTAAATAAGTTTATTATTATTTACAGAGGTAGATCTCACAAGCCTGAAGTCTGTTCTCTCTTGGTGTGATATACTACCTGAAAGGGAAGAACCTCTAAGAAAAATGCACATCCCATGAAAAGTGCCACACTATCAGCCATGTAAAGTGCTTCAAGGGTGCCTATGACCCCAAGTGCAGGAATAATCAATAATAACTTCAGTTACTTCTCATACACACACTCAGAATAGGTGACTCTGGTAGGTCCAAAGTAGCCGGCAATAGCAGTTACACCATCTCTCTCATTCCAGTGTTCAGTGTGCCTTTTGGCCCACAGTTCCCCATATGCTGCGGAGATAACAAGTATAGCCAAAATGCAACAGCAAGAAGCAGGAAAGGCGCTGCAAGGGTCTGGGAGGAGCAGGTGTGCGTAGTTAAAACTGCTCTCGTTAAAGCAAGCCGTAAGGTTCTCCCAGTACACTGATGCGCATGGTTGTGTTGCGCTTTGCCATTTGCCGCAGCAGTTTTGATTCTGTTTTAAAGGCTCTGGAATCTTGTAGCACAATAGCTAGCAGACTTTGTTCCCTCCTTCAATTGCTCACTCAGTCATGCTGCTCTTCTTTGTAGTACAGCAATTTGTTGGCACTTGAGTTCAACTTGGAAATGTAATACTGAGCTGGGTACAAATCATATCTGCCTGTGACTCTTTAAACTGAGTCTGCAGCTGTACTAAATTAATATTTCAAGGTCTGAAATATAGTGGGGTTATGATTCGTATAAATCTCAAATCTCAACATCTTTTGAGAGAGGCGACTGTTGAGAAGCATTTAAGCATCGTTTTTAGCATAGTTGCAGTGCACTTTCTGCCCTCGTTTGCCAGCCTTGGCAGTGTAATTCCTTAAACATCACTCCTAGTACAGTTTTTCATCTCCGCACCTCCAAAATGTGGCTCTCAGCTGCACAGGAGACATGATTTAATTGCAGGACATCCAACACAAAGCACACCAACAAATTTAAATGACACAAGTTCAGCTCATTGCCATTTTGAATTAGTACGGCTTATGAGCTTCAGTTGTCACAACGATTAATGGTGTGTGTTGTGCTACGCTTTATACAAAGGCCCAGAACCCTCTACCCACAAATGGTCATTCTCTTCTGAACAATAGTTTTGCCTTCTGGTTGTCTCTAATAATTGCAGATGTCTTGAAAACATGTACTTGATTGCAGCCATTATTATTTAAACAGATGTCCACTATTCTTTTCTCCAACAGACACAAAGTCTTCAGGTGTCCCGTCCACTGACACAGCAGCAGAGTCAACAGACAAAATTTTAAAGCAGCGTTTTGCAGGCTCAAACAATGACGATGTTTCTAAATGCAAGACACAGTAGCTGTCTTGATATTTTTGTGGACACAGGTTGATTAATAGATTTCCATCTTCTTTTGACTTCTTTATACTTATTTTTAATGTGTTTTAAAAAAATAAAGAATTGTTGTTGTTTAGTCGTGTCCGACTCTTTGTGACCCCATGGACCAGAGCACGCCAGGCACTCCTGTCTTCCACTGCCTTCCGCAGTTTAGTCAAACTCATGCTGGTAGCTTTGAGAACACTATCCATGCATCTCGTCCTCTGTCATCCCCTTCTCCTTGTGCCCTCCATCTTTCCCAACATCAGGGTCTTTTCCAGGGAGTCAAGTCTTCTCATGAGGTGGCCAAAGTATTGGAGCCTCAGCTTCAGGATCTGTCCTTCCAGTGAGCACTCAGGGCTGATTTCCTTAAGAATGGATACGTTTGATCTTCTTGCAGTCCATAAAGAATACCTTTGCACAAATATTTCTGTTGTTGAAACTGAAGTCATCTTTCTAAAGTGTAATGGTACAGTGGTAAATTGCGACGTGTGTGAGCTCATCATGACAACCGCTCCATAGCCACATCTCCAAGGGGAGTCCAAAAATGTAGGCAGCTGTAATTGATCCCTGAGCTAGCAAAAGCTGGTAGAGAGTGCTGGAATTTGGATCGGATGGCCTGGATTTGGGTTATTAATCTAGCCTCGTGCATGACTAGTCCTATGCACTGTTCTGTAGGGGGTTGGCGCCATTTAACTCGGTGCTTGCTTCTGACTAAAATAGGCTGTTTGTAGAGCTCTGAGCTTTAAACAAAGGTCTTCAGCCAGCAAGCAGTCTTGCAAAGTGTTAAATGTTCCTTCCAGTAGCACCTTAAAGACCAACTAAGTTAGTTCTTGGTATGAGCTTTCGTGTGCATGCACACTTCTTCAGATACACAGATACAGTGTATCTGAAGAAGTGTGCATGCACACGAAAGCTCATACCAAGAACTAACTTAGTTGGTCTTTAAGGTGCTACTGGAAGGAATTTTTTTTGTTTTGACTATGGCAGACCAACACGGCTACCTATCTGTAACTAAAGTGTTAAATGGTTAGCATGATGCAGAAATCCCGTCTCTAACCTCTGCTCAAATATTTTCCCATTTCCCCTATGCTAGCTTTGAAAGCCTCATTATCGCCTCAGTCACTTGCCACAGCAAGGAGAATCCATCAGTTTCCCCTGCCAGTTCATGCAAGGAATGGTCCTGAGTATTCCAGCATCCCCTTCACAAAGAGGAGTTCCGTGCATCCACATTGATGAACGCATATGGCCCTTCACACAGCTGAGATGGGACTGAGTTATGCAGCACGATCCACTCCCCTATTACATGGCCGGTAGAATATCACTGAGCCTCTTGTGCATGCCATGAACGCTGTTTTCCTTATGCTAAACCTGTGGTAGAAAGCTGAGTGTTTGTCTGGCGTTACAACTCCACTGATAATTGGTTCATCCTCCCTCTAAAGAAGTAAAAATATGTGAAGACTAAATCCTAAATAAGACAGGCAACTCAAGGTTACCAAGGAATGAGTTACACAGCACATGTTAGCTTCCAGGGTCCCGTTGGTAAGCCTGCCATAGACAAAACATGCATTTTTTAAAAAAGTTTCTATATAAGTGGTTCCCAAACTTCCATGGATCATTTGAAAATTGCTGAGGGTCTTTGTGCACCTTATTTGGCCTTTCAGCCTGTTGTAGCAATTGTAACATGCTGTGATGGGTAAATAGATGATCTTTAAATGCATTTTTATTGTTGCTTTTATTTCTTGTGTTTCATTGTACTACAGTTTGCATTCCATAGAAGTCAAATAATACCATAACGGCAATATGGGAAATTGAAAGAAGCAACAAAAAATATACCGGTAATTAAAAATTTAAGTGAATATTAATGAAGCTCATGGACCACAATTTGGGAACCTCTGTTCTAGAAGATAATGTATGACTGCAAATTGCGATAAAAATCGGAAGCAAGGCCTAAGCAAGATTTTAATTTGGTGTGCTGATGGGCATTGGCAGAATACATGTGGATGTTTGCCTGAGTGTATGCAAGTTCCAGAATCTGCTTGTTTCCTTGTGAGGTAAATGAGTTTAGCCTGGTATAGAAATAAGCTTCCTTTTTTCTGATGGTTTACACAACCCTCAGCATGGTCTGCAGTCCCTGAGATTCGCCTTAGTATAACTGGCAACTGCCAATAGTAATAAAAATGAAAATAGGTAGATGTAGCACTTTCTCAGTCATGTCCTTCCCAAAGCCAGTATGGTGGAGCTTGCACATTCATATAATCTTTTCTTTTTAGAAGTAATTTATTGCTGTTCATTCAGTACAGTGGGCAGTATTCAACTAAATGTGTGAGTGGAGCAATTTCAGTTTGCGCCGTGGGAATTTTTCACACTCCTCTCTACACATGCTCCACCTGCCCTCCCCAAATCTGCTCCAGGTGGTTGAGGGAGCCATGAGAACAGATTTAGGGGGTGCTGTATTAAATACAACCAGATGTACCGTAATTTTATCTAATTCTTTTGTGTGGCATGGCCAACTCTGCTGAACAATTTTTATGAATTACATCTAGCACAAAAAATCAGACCTGTTAGCTACCCTGATCCTAGCATCTTGGTCAATCCATTTTTGGCCAGAACTTTCGATGTGGGTGACACACTTTTTAGACATGCATCATTTTGCAACACAGTAATTCAGTTTTACTAGCAAACGCGAGGTTAAACTAACCCCTTTCTAGCCCCTGGAGTAGCATGGGGAGTGTCTGTGCGACACATCTACACACTGCAGCCGACACACCCAGTTTGGAAAGCTCTGGCTTCGCCTATCGACAGTAGCATGAATTAGAGATATATTAGACACATATTTAAACGCCTCCGGTTAATTAAAAGTGCCTGTTTTGCCAGTTGTCTTTTTTCATAAGTAGCAGTCTGATGCCAACAGTCTTTTATTGCGTTGCCATAAAGTAGCTTAACCCTAAACTTCACTAGATGGCAGTATTTACTTCTACCTCGGCAATGAACTATCTTAACTCGGAAGCAATTTGCCAGCACACTTGAGTCGAATCCCAGCATGCTCTGAAAAACACAAGTAACCACCTCCTGGACAAAGGTCTCCAAAGAGGTCTTCACAGCACTTCTGAGGTAAATTTTTCCTCCATTCTTGTTCTTTTCTTTCTTTCTTTTTTTACAAATAATAGACTTTCATTTAAGAATGGATTCTGGCAGATGAGAATTGTCTGCACTCTGGCAGTTTGTGTGTGTGTGCCATTAGCATAAGTAGCTTTGAATTATCTCTGCCTTTAGAAAAAGGTTTTGCCATGTGGAAAATAAGTAAAATAACCCAGTCAGATGGGTGGCATATAAATAAAAAGAGGATTATTGTTGTTATTGTTAAATAAAGGACTCAAGGCAAATGTCTAGCCATAAGCTTAACCAGGGAAGTCCTAATCCCGCTCCGTTCTGCCTTGGTCAGACCACACCTGGAGTACAGTGTCCAGTTCTGGGCAGCACAATTTAAGAAGGATGTTGACAAGCTGGAATATGTGCAAAGGAGGGCAACCATATATCTAAAGGACTGTCACATGTTTTCTCCTGCTCTGGAGGGTAGGGACCCAAACCAATGGATTCAAGTTACCAGGAAGGAGATTCCAACTCAACACCAGGAATAACTTTATGACAGCAAGAGCTGTTTGACAGCAGATGAGTCTCCCTTAGGAGGCTCTCCTTCCTTGGAGTCTCTGCTATCCCTCATACCGAGGAAACCAGACCTCCTGAAGTCTCGCACCTCTCCAAGCTTCTGGTGGCATGCAACAAATATATTAAAAGCAGTTGATCAGCTCCTAGTTACGCAAAAACAAAACCCTGCAAATATATTGAAATATGTGTGCGATTGGCTCTACAACCAGCATGAAAGATAATGTGCATTTCTTGCAGCTGTTCCTCCTGTAGTTGGTGCTGGTGAATCAGATACCACAATCTCTTTGAATCACGTACAGGGGGCACGATGGGCCGGCTGGATGGGAAGGTAATACTGATGTCTGCTGCAGCACAAGGAATTGGTCGAGCCACGGCAATTGTAAGTTCGGGAACTCTTACTGGGTTTGCTTTGGGTTGGGTTTTGTACAAATGCATCTGCAAGCAGCCGTCACGAAAGTACTTATGCTTGAATGTATTTAGATAGTGGTGAGGACTTGAGCGGGAGAGTACCTAGGCCAGGGGTTGGCAAGGTTTACCTTGCCTGGGCTGGTTCACTGCCGCGGAGCCCCCTCCGTGGGCTGGAGTAAGAGTGCGCGCCTGTGATTTTCTGCATCTGCGCAGACGCGATTTCCAGTGTCCGCGTCTGTGCAGACATGATTTCCGGTGCCACAGAAGTGAGTCTCCGTGCCATGCTGCGCCGGTTTAGCGCAGCGTGCGAGGACTTACAGAGTGGGCGGCTTGTGGGCCAGTTAAACGACCCCCGTGGGCTACTTCTTCAGCCCGAACATCACAGCGACCGATGCCAACCGACACTGGCACACTTAGGGATCTGCAGAGTATGCACATCATGCACGTGGCAGACCTCAGCAACTCAGGGTTTTGGCTAATCTACTTTACATATAAACACACACGGAGCACTGCAACATGGTTCCTTCTCTCTCTAGCATCAGACAGCAAAGAGAAAGAACAAAGGACAATAGTCCCACTTCATGGAACACAGTAACACAAACATCCTGTCTCCATCACTTCCCACTCTGTGGAGTCAAAACATACCACATCATGTGAAAGACAAAAATCCCATGACTGCAATCATGGAGCAGGAATTCTAACACTGTGCTCCCTTGGCTGCCCCTCCGCTGCTCTGGGCAAGGCATCCAGGCTCATCTGGTGCCTCTTTACAGGCATCCAGTCGCTGGCGTGGCCATCGCAGCAACTCTGCAACAACCTCCCCATCACAGCAACTTCCCCAGTTACTATTAGAAGTGTGAGCAGTCCTTGGAAAGGGTGCAAGGGATATGGTGCCAAATGCCCATACAGCTCCTTGCCAAGGGCACAAGGGAGCCTAGGTAAGCCTCCGCTCTGAGGGAGGGAAGAAATCACAAAGGGGAAATCTTCAAGCGATCAGAGCTCAATATTTTAAACCAGGGA